GAGATAAGTTATGGTCCAATTAAGATTGTGACTTCTTATAATGGTGTAATAGTTAATGGATATAGATCTCATACAAAGGAGTACAAAGCTAATAAATCCACCATGAACAGTGGGATATGTGTTAGAGGAAATATATATGGTGAAAATGATTTGGACTATTATGGTATTGTTGAAGAGATATTAGAATTGTCTTACCTTGAATATCAAAACAAAGTAATTATTTTACGTTGTCATTAGTTTGATCCTTTTCATAGTGTTAAATTTGATGACATATATGGCTTGGTTGATATCAAGCATAAATCAAAGCTTCAATCAAATGAGCCATTTGTATTAGCTCAACAAGTTCAACAAATGTATTATACAAGATACCCACAAAATAGGGGTAGAAATAATGGTGATTGGTGCGCAGCTTGCAAGGTTAAAGCAAAATTATTTATGATTGAGACATTGAAGAATGAAGATGATTTGTAAAATGAGAAAATTGTTACTGATTATTTTCAAGATGATGGATCAATGGGAATGCCTAATATTCTTCCTAATGATGAGGAGATACAATTGTTTGATGCAAATGCCCCAATGGAAGAAATAAACATGGATAATGTTAATTATTCAATGAATAATGTTCACGATGTTAAATTCATAAATGACGATGACAAGTTCATGGATGAAGAGATGGAGTTAGATGATTTAGATGATGAGTTAGATAATTCAAGTAATGATTTAGACAATTCAGACGAGGAGTGGTTATGAATGAATCATCTTAAGTTTATTTAATGGTAGATATGTTATGTTTAAATTAAATTAATTATTTCCTGCTATTTTTTCATATTTGTATACTAATGACATGTTTCTTTAATTCATTGTATTTTTATGTGTAGAAACTCAAATGCCTCCTTGAGGAAGAGGGCGGGGTTGAGGTTTTATTACTCCATTTCATCCTTTTCAATCTCGCATTAATCCTCCAGAACTTGATTCTATTTCGCACTCACCACGTATAGTACAAATACTTGAATGATATTTTATTGATTAAATTTTAAATTATTTGAATATATATTGTTCATTGTTCTTGTCTTAGCTGCTACTTCCATCCATGAACCATCAACTGAGGTTGAGCAATCAACTAGTGGTGGTCAATCAATAGCCACCATCCCACCAATTGATGTTGATCAATCAAATGTTGTTCCAACGTATGATAATCCACAATCTACAGAGGAGCCTTCAAGTGAAAATTCTTATAATGAAGTTGATAGAAGACTTGTTATATCCGTGCAACGAGTTAGTAACTCATAAGTGGAACTAAACTTAATTATTAGTTATTCATCTTTATATTACTAAATCATAATAATTTATACATTGAGAATTTTAAATTATAGGAGGAGGTTTGTTCTCGATTCAAGTAACTCGAGATATTATATCCGAGTTACTTATGAGAATGTCAAATCCAACACCAAATTGGAAAAATTATTCTGTTGATATGAAAGAAAATTTATTCAATGATTTGATGGTTAGTAGTTATTGTGTTAAAATACTTAAATAGTTTTGCTTTAACTTTTGTATTAAATAATAAATTTATCTAATTTTTATTGGTGTAGAACAAGTATCATTTTGCATCAACTTATGATCGAGTATGGCAAGAAAAATTTGGAATCTGACATGCATGGATCGATATTCTGACTCTTTAGCTAAGGCAAGGAAAAAGGTAAAAGAGAAGGCAAATTCAGATAATATTGAAGACTTAAAGGGTTTTAGACCAAGAAGTATAAGGACAGAGATGTGGGTTGGATTAGTAAACATATGAGCAACAGAAGAATGGAAAAAGAAGTCCATTGCAGGTACGGCCAATAGGGTTGTCAAGCCTGATGCCATGATGCACACATGAGGATCAAGAAGCTTTGGAAAACACTTAAAAAAAATGGTATTCATACTTTATACATTTAATACATTGATCATATAATTGTTAATCAATATTGTTTACTAGTTATAAATTGAATATTAGGTTTGATGTTGGTATATTGATGTCTGAATCTTGAATTGTAAATTATTTCACAGGAAGAAGAACACAAACGTCCTATTTCTTATGGTGAATTATATAGCAAAGTTCATAAAAAGAAAGATGGTGAATATGTGTCTAACAAAGCAAAAAAATTCATTATAAGTGTGTATATTTTATAAATATTAAATTTTGTTTATTTATAATATTGCTAAAATATTGATTTGATGTAGGAATCATATGAAAATGCTATGACTCGAAAAATATGGGGAAGATACATCAAATCATCCTATAGTTGATTTTGATCTTTGGATAATGACTGCTGGTGAAAATAAAAAAGGTAGAATTTATGGTATAGGTCGAAGTTTAGATCTTGGTATTTCACATGTTTTATCTTCATCAATTGAAGGTCCTTCTTCCCAAAATCTTACCACACCTCTCACTCGAAGAAATCACTACCTTAGCTACACAAATATCTAGTATGCAAGAGTAGATAAAACACAGATTGCGAGCACAACTCGATATGCAAGCATTGATGCAAGCACAAATGAAGACACAAGCGTAAATGCAAACACTCATGCAACAACAAATGCAAAAAGAAATGCAGTCTTTCAAGAAAGATTTATTATCCGTCTTAAAGAAACAATGATGAAAATGTACTTTAAACTTTGTTTCTATTTTTAATTGTGTTATACATAACTTTTTAGTTGAAATATTCTTTTTATTATGTTTTAATTGTTTGAAACATCATTTTAACTGTTTAAATAATACTTTTATACGAAAAGTTGATAAACTTGTCTTCTTTTTTCAAGAATGAGTAATAATTTAAATGTTAAACATTTGATATTATAATGTTATGATGATACATTAGTAGAAATATTTATTACGCCAATAAAATTGCGAGAGAATAACTACGAATTAGCAAGAGATTAGATACGGATTAGCAAGAGATTAGATACAGATTAGCAAGAGATTAGCTATGGATTAGCGGGAAGAGAATTTTGATAATAATGTGATGGATTAGCTATGAAATTGCAAGAGAAACATTGCGAAGGATTATTTACAGATTATCGAGGAAATAATTGCAAGGAATTAACTACAGATCAGATAGAGATAAATTGTCAGGGATTAGCTATAGATTAGCGATAGAAATATTGCGAGGGATTAGCTACAAATTAGCGAGAGAAAAATTGCGACGGATTAGTGACAAATTAATGATAGAAAATTGCGAGGGATTAGCTACGAAATAGCGAGAGTGAAATTGCGAGGGATTAACTACGGATTAGCGACAGAAAAATTGTGAGGGATTAGCTACAAATTAGCGATAGCGAAATTGCGAGGGATTAGCTACGGATTAGCGAGAGAAAAATTGCGAAAAATTAGCTACGGATTAGCTACAACTTTTGGAAGATCAATTAGCTAGAGAGAAATAAAATTTCATCACTTAAATTAGCGAGAGACTTAGCGACATATTGACGACAAAATTTACTACAAATTTGAGAGAGAATATATCTCTATCTAATTAGCTACTTGGATTTAGCGACAGACTATTCCATAGCTATTCCGTAGCTAATCTGCAGCAAAACATACCACTGAGAGATTAGCTATAAAATAGCTACGGAATGCGTCATAACTAATATGTAAAATTCTTGTAGTGAACTACCATTCCTGGTCTCGTACCATCCGTATGGCCTTAGTCTCTAAAAACAAGATGGGTTTTCTCACCAGTGCTATCGCTCAACCTGCTGCCACTAATCCTTTGCACACTCCATGGGAACATTGTAATACCTTAATCATGTCTTGCCTCCTTAACTCTTTGTCTCCACCTATTGCTCAAAGTGTCATCTATTTTGAAAGTGTTGTTACTATCTGGAATGATCTTAGAGATCGCTTTTCTCAAAGTGATCTTCTCCGTATTACAGAACTCCAAGAAAAATATATGACATAAAGCAAGTCTAGTCCTGTATCTGAATACTATACATCCCTCAAATCTCTATGGGAGGAGCTTGATAATTATTACCCCTTCCTAGTGCCAGTGTTCTGCCAAGACATTTCATCAACAAGACTTTCTTATCCGGTTTCTCAAAGGATTGGAGGATCGCTTTTCTGTTTCGTTCCCAAATCCTTCCTATGGACCCTTTGCTGCCAATATCCCGTGTTTTCTCTATGGTTGTGTAACAAGAGCGTCAACACTTGCTTCCCCATGGAGAGGAAGAACCAAATGCCTTCATTAGCTCCGGATTCACCTCTTCTAGCAAGGGACGCAACAGTAAAGTTCCTTCTGGAGGTCCTGTAGGCAACACACACAATGCTTCCAATAAGAAGTGTGTGTACTGCCACCACACCAGCCACACTGTTGAAATGTGTTATGACAAGCATGGGTACCCACCGGGTCATCCATGATATCCGGGTCGTTCTCGCTTTAATCCACGTGATGGCACTGCCTCTACCTCCAATGAATACAACACTTCTGTTGTTGAGGGATCCTCCAATGGGTCCGGATTTCACTTGACCTAGGCTCAATATCAAACCTTAATCAACCTCCTCTAGCCACAACCTTCTGATATTGATGGTATAAGCTCTGTCTAGCCCTCACGAGCCAACATCACCCAAGTGTTTTCACCAACAGGCCCAATACATGTTTCTAACTCTAAGCTCGGTATTTTGTCACATAGTCATCATTTTTTGTACAACACACACACACTGTCCCTGTCACACACTCACAAAATAACATTCCTTGGATTATTGATTCTGGGGCAACTGATCATATTACATCCTCTTTAGATTCTTTTTTTAATTTTTCTAAAATCAAACCTATCCAAATCAATTTACCCAATGGTGTTGTTGTCTTTGCACATTTTTTGGGTTGTGTTCAATTCTCCCCAAATTTTATAATTCATAATGGTCTTTTTGTTCCCAATTTTAACTTTAATTTGCTCTCTATTTCTAAACTTATTCTTTCTCAAAATTATTCTTTTGCCTTTTCTAAAGTCCACGGTTATATACAGGAAATGGGGTCATTGAAGACGATTGGTTTGGGTAAATTGAAACAAGGCCTTTATCACTTGGACATCAACAAGCATGCGAGTTTGACATCACCTAAAGCCTCCTTCATCAGTAATTTCACCACCCCTCCTATCAACAACATCAATCTTTGGCATTTTAGGCTAGGACACCTTTCTGGAAAATGTCTCAATGTTTTACACATGAATTTTCCTTTTATTTCTAAGCATGTTGATGATAATTGTGACATTTGTCATTTAGCTAAACAAAAACATTTGTCATATTCCCCAAGTATTAATAATCTTGCAATTTATTTGATTTAATTCATATGGATATTTGGGGACCTTTTTCTAAACTCTCTTTTCACGATCATAAATATTTTTTAATTATTATTGATGATTTTAATCGTTTTACATGGGTTGTCTTATTAAAATCAAAGGGGGAAGTCCAAAAACATATTCAAAATTGTATTGCCTTAATTGAAAATCAATTTCATACCACCATTAAGTGCATTCGTTCTAACAATGAGCCCGAATTTTTTCAAAGAGATTATTTTTCATCAAAGGGCATCCTACATCAAACAAGTTGTGTTTATACCCCCAACAAAATGGATGCGTCGAAAGAAAACATCAGCACATTCTCAATGTGGCTAGGGCTCTCATGTTTCAATCTAACCTTCCCAAATATTTTTGGTCTTATGCTATTAAATATGCAATTTCCTAATAAATCGTGTTCCCTCACCTGTTATTAAAAATAAAACCCCTTTTGAATTATTGTATAAAGAACCTCTTGATTTTTCTATGATTAAAATTTTTTGTTATCTTTGTTATGCATCAACAAATCCTTCTCGCCAAAAATTTGATGTCCGCTCTAGACATGGGAATTTTTTGGGTTTCCAAACAGGAACCAAAGGCTATGTCATTTTTTATATGAACAGCAAAGAAATTTTTGTATCACGTAATGTCACATTCAATGAGACATTTTTTTCCTTTTTCACCACCCTGTCCAGCTTCACAATCCATTACAAATACACCACCTAATCATGACACCAGTCTAATTCATATTCACACTCTCCCAGAACCTGAAATAGATTATTCTCACCACCCTCCCTTTGAGTCACCCACTCACCAAGAGCCCTTACACTCCCTGGACCCCACTCTTAGTCCTAGTTTACCTTCTCCATCTTATACCAGAAATTCTCCCTCATCGCACCATCAACCCTCTCCTTCCTCACCACCACCAAATTCCCCTCCACCTCCACTGCGACATTCCACCTGTGTCACTACTTGCCCAAGCTATCTTGATTATTATTATTGCAACACTTCTTCAAGTGATTTAGCAATTGTTCCAAAGGATTCTAACCAATCCCCTTCAAAGATCTTGTATCATATCCAGTCTATCGTTGTTTATTCTCACTTGTCTTCTCCTCGTTCTCACTTTCTGATGTGTCTCAATAAAGAAGAAGAACCAAACATGTATCAAGAGGTTGTTACCCAACCTTGTTGGCAGGAGACGATGCAAGCCGAAATTACGCCCTTGAGGAAGAACGAGACTTGGGACATTGTGGCCACACCTCCCTCTGTCAAACCCATCGGATGCAAATGAGTTTTCAAAATTAAGCGCATGCCTGATGGATCTGTGAAGCGCTATAAAGCTCGCCTAGTTGCGAAAGAGTACTCACAAGTTGAAGGGATTGACTACCTAGAAACTTTCTCCCGTGTCGTAAAAATGGCTACAGTCAGGGTCCTTTTAGCTTTGGCATCAATTCACAATTGGGACTTGCAACAACTCAACGTCAGTAATGCTTTTCTCCACGGGGACCTTTCAAAAGATGTGTATATGGTAATTCCTCCTAGACTATCTGGTCATCCTTCTAATCATTGTTGCAAGCTTAAGAAATTACTCTACGGCTAGCAAGCAACAAATGGTATGAAAAAATATCTCTCCTATTGTTATCTTCTGGGTATGTTCAAGAACATGTTGATCATAGTTTATTTGTCAAAGTTACTAGTTCTGCTTTCACTGCTCTCGTTGTTTACGTTGATGATATCATGCTTACTGAAAATTGTGATTTTGAAATTGCTAAAATTAAGATCATTCTTCACTCTCATTTCAATATAAAGGATCTTGGTCAATTGAAATATTTTTTGGGAATAGAGGTGGCTCATTCTAGCAAAGGAATTTCTATATATCAACGCAAATATTGTCTGGATTTGATTAAAGATTCTAGTCTCATGGGTTGCAAACCCTCTTCCACTCTAATGGATGATTCTTTGCGTCTTCATCAAGACTCCAGTGAACCTTTAGTTGATCCCTTGTTATACAGATGGTTAGTAGGACGTCTCATTTATTTAACCAGCACAAGACCTGATATAGTCTTCGTCACTCAACAACTCAGTCAATTCATGGTAGCACCAACTCAAACACATTTTCAAGCTGCCTTGAGGGTGATCCGCTATCTGAAAGGATATCCTGGAAAAGGTTTATTTTTCAGTCACAAGTCCTCAACACAACTTCTTGGATTCAATGATGTTGACTGGGCTACGGTGTTGATACACGGTGTTCAATCACTAGTTATTGTTCTTTCATTGGCAACTCTTTAGTCTCTTGGAAAGTCAAGAATTAATCTACATTTCTCGATCTTCGACAGAAGCAGAGTATAGGACACTTGCCTCTGTCACTTGTGAGCTTCAATGGCTCACTTTCCTTCTTAGTGATTTGAAAATTCCTATTACTAAGCATTTTGTTCTCTATTGTGATAGTCAAAGTGCATTATACATTGCAGTCAACCCAGTCTTTCATGAAAGGATGAAGCATTTAGAGATTGATTATCACATCGTTCGTGAAAAATTACTCGTTGGTCTCATGCACCTCTTACTGGTTTCATCATCACATCAGTTAATAGATATTTTCACTAAAACGCTTTCTCCATGGTTATTTCACTCCAATTTATCTAAGCTGAAGCTTCTTGACATATTCAAACCTCCAGCTTGTGAGGGGCTACAAGAGGAAGAACGAGAGGATCCACAATAGCTCAATAAACCAGCAACCCCAGACCAATTGAATAGAAATACATAAGCCCATATTGTACATATTTTGTCTCTTCCTGATACAGTTGTATATTTTGTATTGTATTTAGGCATTCCAACACCTCACCCTCTGTTGTACCCTCTGCTACAATTTTCTGTTATTCTTTTTTGTCCTTTCATAGGCAATAAGTTGTATATAAATATACTGCTTTGCTTTCATGAATATACAAGAGAGAAGAAATCATTTTCTCAATCATTTGTTCACAGTCTTTATCTGCCATTTGTTTTGTTCTCTTTTAGTTTATAAATAATTAAACTGAAAACTGGGTACTAGGGAGCATTAGTTTTAACTAAAATTAATTTTTGTTTGCATAATTTGAAAATTTGGCTACGGTTATGGATATGATTTAGTACATATCTGATTGGAGAATGGAAACATAAGAACCTTTATTTGATTGTGCCAGAAATACGACCAATTGACATGAGAAATGTAGCAATCTGCAACCGATTAAATTAACAGATTTATAAAGATTTCAATACCAAATCAGTCAAACATTTGGACATCATTCTTTAGCTTGTATATTAATTTGCATAAGAAAGTTGCACAATGATAAAAGAAAAGCTAGAAGGAAGAAAAAGAAGACGAAAGAATAGAAGGAATAGAAGGAACCCAACAGTGGGTTATTAGAATAACATTGAGAAAAGTAAGAATATTAAATCACAATTACCATTGTTTTACAAAAGCCAAAACTCAATTATATACTATGGTAAAACTCTTTCCAACTTACTACTTAAACCGCACTGTTTCTAGAAATGGTTACTTTATTTATATCAATACCTTGAAAGAATCTTTGTCCTCAAGGATTAAAATTGGGAAATTTTTTCTTTAAAATCATAGAAAAATTCTCATGTCGCGTCTTCTGGCAACTGATGTTTCCATTTTACAAGGACTTTGGTGATTGTCATCCCTCTTCTCTTCATTGTCATTTTGTCTAAAATAGCTTATGGTTCCTTCTATTGCAGCCTTCCTTCTGCTTGATAAGGCAACTTTGTGGAAATTATTGTCTCCCCCACATGCTTCTTCAATTGCTATATATGAAATACATTGTGGATCTTTGAAATCATAGGAAGTTCTAGCTTATAAGCTACCTCTCCTATCCTGTCCAAAATCTTGTAGGGTCCATAGTATTTGAGACTTAATTTGGCATTAGGTCTGCAGATTACTGAAATTTGTCTATAGACCTATAGTTTCACGTAAACCAGGTCCCCAATTTCATATGCTCTATTAGATCTGTTTCTGTCAGCTACTTGCTTCATCCGTTCTTGTGCTCTCTTTAAATGAAATTTAATTACCTTCATCATCTCTTCTCTTTTAGTGAGACTTATGTCCACTAGTTTTACACTAGACTCCCCAAGTAGATAAGGTAGGTGAATAGGAGGAACCTGACCGTAAACAATTTCATATGGTGTAGCCTTAATAGTCGTGTGGTATGTTGTGTTATACCACCATTCCGCTAAGGGAAGCCACTTCACCCATTTGTGTGGTTAATCATTACTCATACATCTCAGGTAGGTTTCCAAACACCTATTTACAACTTGTTTATCCGTCTGTTTGAGGTTGATAACATGTGCACAGCTGAACTTGCACCCCATGTACTGCCATAAATTCCTATTAAAATTGGCTAACAAAGACTGAATCTTTGTCACTAGTTATAGTTTCACGAAATCCATGTAATTTGAACACATGGTCTAGAAAAGATTATGCAACATCCTTTGCTCGGATGAGTTAGCGCCATAAAATGAGTTGTTTTACTGAGCCTATCCACCACTACCATAATCACATGTTTGCCTTCTGAATTTGATAGTCCTTCAATGAAGTCCATGGTGATATGCTGCCAAATAGTTTGGGCAATGGGCAAAGGTTGTAGTAGACCAAGACTGGCAGTAATGCTATACTTATTTTGCTGATAAATAGAGCAATGTTGGATAAAATGTAATATCATTATTTAATCCCTTCCAATAAACCACTACCTTTACCCCATTTTCAAAGTAGCATTAATTCCTTAATGACCCCCCTTCAGCTGATGAATGTAGCCACTGTAAAACTTTTTTTCTTAACATCATATTGTTTCCCATTACCAATTTACCCTTCCTTCGCAGTTCATTGTTTCTCCATGTATAATGTTTGTGTGAATTAGTATTTCCTGTAACTCTTTTATCACCTTCTGCAAATTTATGTCTCTAAGCCATTATAACTCAGATTGTAATTGAAGTGTAATAATTCCCTTGCATTCAACTGTTTCTATTCTTGAGAGAGCATCAGCTACTACATTGTCCACTCCTTTCTTGTATTCTACAGAGAAATCAAATTCCATTAATTTCACCAGCCATTTCTGCTAAAAATCTGTAGTCCACCGTTGGTCTAGAATATATTTTAAGCTGTAATGATATGTTTTCATTATAAAATGTCTATTCAGTAAATAGTGTCGCCACTTTTGTACTGCAAAAACTACTCCCAACAATTCATTTTCATATGTTGAATAGGTCTGCTGTTGTTGATTAAAAATTTGGCTAATATAGACAATAGGATGATTGTCCTGCATTAAAACCACCCTTATCCCCTATTCTAAAGCATCCACTTTAACCAAGAACACTTTTGAGAAATCAGGTAGTGTCAAAACTAGTGTGTTACTCATCGAATTTTTTAGTGCTTCAAAGGCTTCTTTGACTTTGTCTGTCCAAATAAATTTGTATGTTTTTTAACATCTTTGTCAAGGGTTTCACTATTACCCCATAGCCACGAAAAAATCTCCTGTAATAACCTGTTAGACCCAAAAACCCTCGCAATTGTTTAAGAGTTTGGGGTAAAGGTCATTCCACCACTGTCGCCACCTTAGTCGGGTCTGTAGACACTCCTTCTTTATTAATAATATGGCCCAAATAATCCACTTGTTGCACCACAAAATAGCATTTAGTTCTTTTAGCAAATAAAGTGTTTAATCTGAGAGTTAACAGCACCTCCTTTAAATGTTGTAAATGGTTTGTCAAATTCCTACTATATATCAATATGTCATCAAAAAATACCAATAAAAATTTCCTCAAAAACTTGTGAAAAATAGTGTTCATTAAGCCCTGAAATGTAGTCGGCGCATTAGTGAGACCAAAAGGCATCACCAAATATTGATAGTGCTCCACATGGGTTCTATCCGGGTTCATCCTAACTTGATTATACCCTACACGCAAGTCAATCTTTGAAAAAATAGTAGATCTTGTCAATTCATCCAACAAATCGTCTACTAAAGGAATGGGAAATTTATTTTTTATCATTCCTTTATTCAATTCTCGGTAGTCCACACAAAGTCTCCATGACCCATCCTTCTTCCCTACAAGAACGACTGGATTGACATAAAGGCTGAAGCTGTCCCGAATAACACCAAATTGCAAGTATTCTTGTATGAGTTTATCAATAATATCCTTCTTATTCTGAGCATACCTATAAGGTCTTTTGTTAATTGGATTAACTCCTTGCATGAGAGGAATATCATGATCATGTCTTGGTCTAAAGGGTGGCAACTGTTGTGGTTCTCGGAATACATCTGCAAATTCTTGCAACAAGTTTTCAACTTCCACCGGTAAAGTTACCTAATCTGCATGTGTAGTAAATAAACACAGTAAATCGTCCTTGAAGGCACCAAGATGCATCATAGACAAATGCACCCCTTCTGTAAAAGTCTTGCACAACTACTGTTTGGTTGCAGTTTTAACCTTGGTATTAGTGGATCCTGTTAGTATCATCGTCTTCCTTGCACTTGAAACTCCATTGTGAGTTTGTCAAAGTTCCATAAATATCATCCAATTTAATGAGTCATTCCATTCCCAACACCATATCACAACATCCCAGAGGTAAGAGAAGCATATCAATCAGCTCTAAAAGTAGTGTGCTGAATATTCTAAATGAAATTCTTGACCATTGTCGAAATCTTGATTTTGGAGCCATCCGCTACAACCACATTCAAGGCATTAATATTTTCTACTGCACATATTTTGCTGTTGAGTGTCCAGAAAATTGTGAGTGCTCCCAGTGTCAAGGCTTCTTTTGGTAATAACTCGTAATCCTCATAGTTTTAAATCCTATTACTCCTATCAACGCATTGACTGAAATTTGTGGTTCTTGAGCAAGTAATTGGGTTCCTCCATCATTCGTAGACACTAGTATCCACCTCATCCTCCGCCTCTATTACATGAATTTGTAATTTCTTGTGGGTCAAACCATGTTCTAGGAAATAAGGCTCATCACAAAAATAGCATAGTCATTTAGCTCTTTTTTCGATATGTATGCTGGTTTGTGGTTTAGGTTTCGAGATTACAGTTGTCGTCGTGACTTGTGTAGGTGATGGAGTAGGACCTAAAACTCTCCTTTGAAACCTTGCAGAAGCGTTGGTTGAATTGGCCGATTCATACATTCGTGCCAATATAAAGGCACGTTGTACGTATCTAGGTTGTAACATCCTTACAATCATTTGGATTTATTTCTTTAGCCCATCCAAAAAATAACTTAGTACATACTCCTCCGATAGATTCAATCTGGTAATAATTGAATCAAATTCTTCATGATAGTCATCCACCGATTTCTTTTGTTGTAAATGCATCAACTCTGTCATAGGATCGTCACACACATCGTCAAACCGATCACATAAGTGTTTCTTGAATTCAATCCAAGAAAATGTAAAACAATTCAAACAAGATTTTGTCAAAGCAGTATGTCACTGCAACGTTTTGTCTTTCAAATGCACAATTGTTAACTTCGTCTTGAAATCTTCTGGGTTATTATCAATGAGAAAGTAATTTTCACACTGATGTATCCATTGATTCATATTTTCGCCATTGAATCTGAGAAAATCAATACGTATCATCCGAATTCTGTACACATAATTTGAAGTTGAACGTGCACCCCGCGACATATTATCACTGGAAGAATTGGTATTACTCTCGGTCATTTTCTGCGTAACCAATTCTTGCATTGTTTGTTTCAAAGAAGCAGCTAACTCCATAAAATGAGCATTCATCTTTTAAGATATACACATTCCTCTATGTCTTTTATTGCCTGAATTGAACGGGTAGTGTCTGCTATGTGAGTTTGTCAGGAAGGACCGACCAATACCAATTGATAAAAGAAAAACTAGAAGAAAAAAAGAAAAGACAAAAAAATAGAAAAAATAAAAAGAGTCCAACAGTGGGTTATCAGAATAGCATTGAGAGAGGTAAGAATATTGAATCACAATTATCACGTTTTTACAAAAGTCAAAACTCAATTATATATTATGGTAAAACTTTTTCCAATACACCGTTTAAACCACATTGTTTCTATAAGTGGTTACTTTATTTATATCACACAATGATAGCTCTTCACATATACAACCATTTTCTGGTGTTGATGAGTTGTATTTTCTTCGTGTTGCACGATAAAAAACAGTATATACCTTGGCACAATGCTAGCAATCAGCATTGCATTCTTGGAAGTTCCAATGAATACAAGGTTGTACCATTTAATTGAAAGATAGTAAGGTTGCCATGAATAATTCACATAGTATCTGTTCTTCATGTATTTAGCAATCTTGAGGGTAAGGTTGCAACATTTACATCTAAGCTGAACATGCCAAATTAGTGCTGTAGAAGTGATCCCCATTTTTTGTCTTTTATTAATTTTATGATTTAGTGTATGCGTTTCAATCAGTGAATTTTCTTTCTTGTTGCCAATACAGATCCCAACTTCTTTAAGTATCCGTTCCTTTATCCCTTTTGCTTGGTGTGTTGTTTGTTCTAGTTGTTGGAGGTTTTTAATTCAAGATGTGATTTGTATTTCACATATGTTCAATTTTTATTTCTCCCTCCCACAATAGATAAGTTATATAAAATTAGTTCACATGTACATAGTAGCCATTGTTAAAATGCATTATCTTGAAAGATGTCATAACATAACGCTTCCAGTAAATAATAGGAGCAAACTTGAATGAAATCGACGATGAAAGATTAATGACTTCACATATATGTTGTAATTTAAAAATCTTCAGGAAGCCTAGGCTATTAATTTATTCAGAACTACTGCAGTTTGTTATCCAAAATTTATATAAGGCCCATTATGTGAGCATGGGGGAGACAAGTTGGGCCATTTGCCAAACATCAAGCCCACTTGGGCTATTCTCAGCATACATTCAATGAAAAAAATGTCCGCTGGAGCATATCTGTGACAGGAACAATTGCTTGAATTTAAGGTGCTTAACATGTAAGAAATATAAGTTGCTTATAAAATATAATGTTGAAGTAAATTATGAATGAATTGCTTAACAAAAGAGATGTTGATAAAACACCTGAGTAAGCTAAGCCAAGCAGTATAAGAAATGAACATTTTGAAATATTTGAAAAGGAAGCCATTATGTTTCTACATAACTCATTTATGGGAGGGTATGGATAGAAAATAGCAGCTGAGAATCTTGCAGAAGAAACAATGATGCTCCTGAGAGGGGCATATACGTGACTTGGAGGGAACAGAATTACACACAACTTGGGGCAGAGGGAAGTCACCTTATTGTAGCATGCAGTATGTACAAACTCGAGCATCCAAACGGGCAAAATTAATGTAAGAATGAAAGAATTATAGAACATGTAATATTGTAGGCCTACTAGTACTTTTGGCGCAAAAATAAAAAAAATCAATGCAAAATTTGTCCTATGCTATAGAATCGTCCCCTGGACTGGCTGTGACTGATCTCTCTGGTCTAATCTCTTCTAACTGCTGAAGCACTTGATGAACTTCTGGTCGTGCTGATGGAGAAGGATCAACACAGTGCAAAGCGAGCTTCAATGTATTTAGCAACTCATCGCCAACTGTTGAAGCATCTCTCATTAAGTCTGCATCAAAAACCTCATTTGTCCACTCCTCTTTGACAATAGAGGCAACCCACTGAGGCAAATCTACTCCATTCATAGACACCCCAGGTGACTTCCTCGTTAGGAGTTCTAACAAGATAACACCAAGACTATAGATATCAGTTTTGGAGTTGGCTTTCTTGAGCTTTGAGAGCTCAGGTGCCCGGTATCCCAATGCTCCAGCAGTAGCTATCACGTTGGAATTAGCAGCAGTTGTCATCAGCCTAGAAAGACCAAAATCTGCAATTTTTGCATTTGTATTCTCATCAAGCAACACATTGCTGGATGTGAGGTTCCCATGTATAATGTTCTCCTGGGAATGGAGGTAAAACAAGCCACGAGCCATGTCCTGTGCTATTTTCATCCTTGTTGGCCAATCAATGGATGTTTCTGTTCCACTACCTGCATGAAGATGGAAAAGAAAATACTTGACTTACTGTAAGCTTATCAATAAAATAAATATGATCATGACTTAGATATAGTTTCTTGAGTGTTCTTTGTGTTGTTCTACTATGAGAATCAGAGTTTCACTTTAGTAATCCGTAATTTTGCTAATAAAAGTTTAATTCAAGGGTTGTGCAGAATACCAAGATGAATAATGAATTCTAATATATAACAGAAAACACAAAAAATACTTTTAAGAACTATGTATAAGTTTTCCCCTATTTGCAAAACCAAACTTACCATGTAGGAAAGAAGCAACACTTCCTTTAGGCATGTAATCAAAAACCAGAAGCTTCTCCCCTTTGGGTCCCAAGTAATAGGCCCTCAGAGCCAAAACATTGGGGTGTCTAATTTTTCCTAGAACACTGACTTCTGATTCAAATTCTCTCTGACCTTTAGCGATCTTTTCTCTCAATCTCTTTACTGCAACTTGACTTCCATCCTCCAATATCGCCTTATAAACAGTTCCATAGGTGCTCTTTCCCATTATCTCAGCTGTTGCGCACAAGAGATCATCAGCTGTAAAAGCAATTGGTCCATCAAAATGGACTAGTTTCCCTCCAGCCTCCCCACCTGCTTCAACATCACCAGTAGCAACAGGAGGGACTCCTTTTTTTGTCCTCATAGTGCCAGCTCTCCCCGCACCTCTGCCATTCTCTGTCTTTGATGTTGATCTCTTTCTGATCAGGCAGAAGAGAAGGATGCAAAAAAGTGTAATCAGGACTATTAGAAGAACTCCTGCTATTATGAGAATAATGTCTTTGGTACTTAGCTTCCTATGATTGTGGTGTTTTGACATTTCATGAGGTGGGGCAACAATTACTCCTGATGGAGCTTGTGAAGGACATGGTGTTGAAGGGCTGTATCCACATAGTTGAATATTTCCCACAAATGAGCTTGAGTTAAATTTCCGGGCAAGAACAGGGGGAACAGAACCTGAGAGGCTATTGTAAGAAACATTGAAGAGATGAAGACTACGTTGACTGTCAAAGGAAACTGGAATTTCTCCACTGAGATTATTCATTGACAAATCAAGCTGCCTAATAGTGGAAATGTTTGCGATACTAGAAGGAATATGTCCACGAAATTGGTTTCTACTCAAAATTAGAACAGAAAGATTGCGTAAAGTCCCTAAAGTTTCAGGGATTTGATTTTCAAGGAGGTTGTTCTCTGCATTTAGCAGCGTAAGCGAGGATAAATTAGAGAAGGTAGCAGGCAAGCTCCCATTCAAGGCATTATTAGAAATATCTAGTGTCTTAAGCCTAGAAAGAGTTCCTATTTCATTTGGTATAGCTCCACTGAACTTATTATGACCAAGGGAAATCTCATTGAGTTCTCTTAAGCTACCCAAAGAAGAAGGAACATTTCCAGTAAAAAGGTTATGATCTAGGATCAAATTTTGAAGTCTAAAGAACTCTTCACGCTTGAGACTCTCACCCCAAGAGTTAGGAAGGGAGCCAGAGAGATTGTTATGTTGAAGAGAAAGGAATGTGAGGGAAAGTGAGTGAGTTATGCTAGCTGGTAAAGGACCAGAGAAGGAGTTAAAACTCAAATTAAGCCAATAAAGCTTGGTGGAATTGGCAAGACTATAAGGGATTGCTCCTGTGAGCAAGTTGTTGCTGAGGTCAAGAGACTGAAGCAAAGGACAGTAACCTAAGGAAGGAGGGATGGAACCTGTTAGCCTATTGTTGAATAATTGAACCCCTCTTAGGTTAGGAAGAAGTCCCAGAGTAGAAGGGATTGAACCTCCAATTTGATTATCATGGAGACTAAGCTTCCTCAGGCCTTGAAGCTGACCAATCTTATCAGTAATACGCCCTCTCAACCCCTTCCATGGAAGCTGGATTACAATAACCTCTCCCCTAGCACACTTGATACCAGCCCAACCTCCGGAACAAGCTCCAAAACCACTATCATTCCAGCTCCGCAAGAAGCCTTCAGGATCAACCAACTCTTGCTTGAACGCTTGAAGTGCTAAGAAGTTTGATGCTGTCACAACCACTCCATCCCAACCCTCGTCTTCACACAAAACTGGTTTCAAGCATGTGGCGAGAACAAGAATCCACACCCAGAAGAGAAACAGAAAACAACATGGGATGTTGTGTGCCTTGGGCGGGGTCTTCTTCCATCTTTCCTTCTTCTTGTCAGAAATATGGTCTGCATTTCTTGTTTCATGTTGTGAAAACTGACAAGAGTTAAGGTTGATTTTCTCTACTACCATAATGAAAAGAGATGTTTGAATTAGTGGAACAAAAAGAGAGTGTGTTGGAAGTGAAGGGGAGATAGATAGGAACAGTTGAAGGATGGTTTTTGTAGAGAGGAAGAATGAGAAGGAGCACGTGATGACATAAAGAAGTGTAGGTGCGCGCGGGGTTGAGAGTATAATAGAGAGAGAAGGAATGCAGAGTTCGAAGGTTGTCTTTGTTTGTGAGAAACAGTGAGTAACGGCTAGTTTTCCTTGTAAGTTGTAACTATTCATGATGAGCATTAGTACTAGGAAAGTGGTGTGCTTTTGTTGGGAGGGTTAAGTTAAGATGATGGCGCGCTATTCTTTTATTGCAGAACCCGCGCCCCTCCACCCCCAACGGCTACTTCTTTTCTCTTCACAACTCCACCCTCTTCTGTTTCTCCCTCCCATGTTTTCCTGCTTCCACTTTCGCACACAACAACATGTCTTCAATGAGAACCATAAAATATTGGGTGATTCAGAACTGAATCTATAATATAACGTTGGTAACCCTCTTTGTGCATAAATGAATAACTCTTAGAAAAATGTTATTCCTTTTTTATTACTGAATCTGAAACTTGGCAGACATGAAATGAACCTGCTCGTGGCATCTCCTATTTTCACGTGGTTTTGGCCGGTCAAAACAGGTTTTTAATTGGTTCCTTGGTCCATCGGTTTTTTATTTTTATTTTATTTTTAAAAATATACATTTCTTTTAAAAACTTAACCTTATTTAATTAATTAATCTCTATGAGTAAATTATTTGAAATAAATGCTAATTTTACATATTTTTTATATCTAAATTTAAATATTAATAATATTTTATTATTATCATAAATTTGATAAAATAATTATTTATTTTTTTAATTTAAGAACTAATTAATTATTTTTTAAATATAAAAATTAAAAACAAATTTAATAAAAATTAAAAGGATATAAAAAGAATTTATTCATCCTGTCTAGCTTAACTTGTGCGTGACAGAGTAGGTAAAATCACACTTCTCACCAAATTAATGATAAACAGTGTGTGATTCTGGAGATAAGCTAGAAGTTGGATTCATTAGTTAGCGTGGAATGAGAGGTAAATGTTTTATGAAGAGGTGGATGTATTCGTACGGCGGTCCCATAATCTGAGAAGAGTTATCGTCATCATTATGTTCATCTTTTTCACACTTTTGAGCTAACTTTTAGTCATGGTTCACTTTCGATGGTAGAATGGGGTTTATTTCTCTTCTTTATGTTAATTATTTTATCCTATAACATTTTTATGACAAATGAAAAAAAAGTAAAAAAAATTATCAATAAATTAATGGTCATCATGTGAATGATAGAATAAATGCAAACAATCACCTTTTTCACTTGATATTTTCACGAATGGTTTCTCTTATGTTCATCAATCTTAACAAATTAAATAGCTTGTTAGATAGGAAATGTTAGATTATTATGTGCGGTATAACATTTTTAAAATTATTTTAGAAATTAATATTTTTTTTTACGAATACAGTTTCTTTAAAGAAATGTTAGTAACATATTATTTAATAAACTTTTTAGAACAATTTTTAATGCTAGTCAAATTTTCCTACACTTAAAAGACAGTTAAATAATGATAATTACACACAGGAATAATATAAGATAAATTCTACTTTCTATTATATTTTGATGTTCAAAAACAGTATAATTGATCTGTATGTTACATATGAACATGAGCTGTTCGTTAATTTTCATGTTAAAAATATTTTGTTTTAAAAAAAGAATTGGTCATAATAGTTATAATTACAAACAAATCATAATAATAATGAAATGAGGGTTAACATCATTATATTATATGATAGAAATTGTGGAATAAAGAGAAGAGAGAAAAGTGGATGTAAAATAATATGAATGATTCAAGATGATGAGAAGAGATAAATAAATCTACAACTTCGGATCTTCTTCACAAATAATCGAATCGTAGAATTGTGATCTTCTTCACAAATAATCAAATCGAATAATTGTTTGAAAAAGTAAAATGTTTAAGTAAAACCATCATTTTTTTTTCTCATTTTCATTACATTCGTACTATAAGGATCAAAGTTAATCGTACTCGTGGGGACTGACATGTTGTCACCCTAAGTTTGATGGATAAAATCGAGTTGATCGAGGGGTAGATTCGGGTTTTTCTAGTTTTAAAAAGTTGGGATAAGTTCGATTTTTTTCATTTTAAAAAGTCGGGGACGGGAATAGAGGTGGGGATGAATAATACAATTCTCACATTGACCATGTCTCCGTTCTCGCTCTGACGTTATATTTAAATTTAAATTTTAAAATATTAATATTTTAAAAATATTTCCTTTTTCTATTACATATAAGACTATTTTTTATATTTCACAATTTTAATTTTTTAATCTTTTATATCAATTAGTTTATTACATTGTTCTCTCTCTTTTCACATCTCCTTAATCTCTCCAATCAATTTTTTTTTTCAATCTTTTCAACCAATTTTATGAACACAAAGTAAATTTTCAATTTATTATACTACAAATATAAAAATATTGGTTGAAAAAGTTGAAAAAAGAAAACAATTTGATCGGAGAGATTAAAAAAATATGAAAAAGTGAAAGAAGAGAAAGAGAATAATATAATGAACTAATTAATATAAAATATTAAAAAAGACAAAAGAATTAAAAAATGGATAAGAAAAATAATAATGATAAAATATAAAAAAAATTACCTTATATATATAATGGAAAAAGAAAAGGAAATATTTTTAAAATATTAATATTTTAAAATTTAAATTTAAATATAAAGTCGGGACGGAAGAGGGGTCGAGATAGGGATTGCACTACCTATCCTCGACCCCGACTTTTAAAGCTGAAAAACTCGAACCCGTCCCGCCCTCAATCAACTCGGCTTTTCCCAGTCAAACTCGGGATGAGTACGGATCAATTCCCACAAATACTAAGTTTAATTATCATCCCTAATTCTAAAACAAGAGTTTCAGAATACATAATTTGAATTTATTTTTTAATTATTTTAAATTATTCTTAAAATTATAGAAAAAGTTATTTAGATTGAAAAAGAAATGAAAAAGGGGTGAGGAATTTGTTTTCAATTTTATGGACAAATGAAAAGAAAAAGATAAATTATATGAAAAATACTGTTATACTAACTAAAAACTATTTTTATTATATTCTTTTATCATAATTCTATATTAAAAATATTTAATTTTTAAAAAATACTTTAAAAAAAAAAGAGACTATTTCTCCTCCCTCCATTTCATACCAATTTTAGGAGCCTGTGAGTCTAAAAAATAATAATTTCTTCGTTTTTTTCCTTAAATACATAATGAAAAAATTATTTATCTTCCTTATATCTCTCGTTTTCGTTTTATTCTCCTCAATTTGATTGTATGGTAGAAAAATGGGTTAGTGCTAATCCTTACCACAATAACACGAAATGCTCTATAAATATATGCTTTTAATATTAATATACTTTCATAAGAATGTAAATATTTTTTAATCTATATATATATATATATATATATATATATATATATTAATGCTTTTGTTTCAATTAATTTAAGATTAATTTATTTGATGAAATTTATTTTCCATTCATATATTATTATTTATTTTTTGTTGAAAAATAATTCTGATGCAAACCCAACACAGCCATTATCTCTTTCCAAATTGAGTATTTTCCTCGAAGATATGTCTCCAAAAGTTGTTGAGTCCTCAAGCAATGGTTATAGACTATTGTTGAAGTTTATATATAAGGTGAAGATGGTAGTTATGAGTTATGATCACAAAAGGTCAATGAAACAGTCATAGTTATCATTCAAATGACAACATCAAAAGATAGTGGACATGGGCAAAGACTGTCATCACAGAAGGTAGAGGTGTGTACACTGCAAATAACCCAAATGGGAAGACTAATAATTGGGGACGGAATGATTATTACATTGTATAAATGGATACTATCATCATGACTTTAATCACCTTAACCAAAGACAAATTTCATTTGCTATAAAAGAATAAATCTTTTCTTGCCATTTCAAAACTCAGTTCAAACTCATACAAAAATACAATGTGGTAGAATAATGGTAGCATTTACTTAGTTATGTGCCTACGGATTCCCCCAAATGAGGAAAGAAACTACTGAATAGTCACACACTCTTATATCTCTTTAAATCTTAGATATTGACAGAAACTATTAGAAAATTCATTCTAGTTAGTTGTCTTTATGTTTTAAATATTGGTTGAGTATTATATGAATTATTCAATCATTTGTTGTTGAATATTTAAGGAGATTTTATACATAACCAAAATATAACTGGGTTGGTAGGATTTTTAATATAGGTTATAATCTGTTATTCAACGTGGTTTACCATATTTTCCAATTGGATTAAGTTTAATTTTTTTTAACAATAATGAATTAAAAATAAATCTGAATTATTTATTGTCATAACAGTTGTCATTTGATTGTCGCGTTATGATATCATCTTATTTCAATTGTGCTATAATATTTTTTTATAACGCTTTCATATTACAATATTTTAGTCACGCTACAATATTTAGGATTTTTAATTATGCCACAATATTTATTATATGACTGTGAGTCCGCGATTCAATTGTATATATTAAAAAAATTAAAAAATATATAAATTAGTAATAATCTAACTAACTCATCAATTTGTAGTAGATTAACTAACTCATTTTGTAGTAGATTAAGATGCATTGTGAAAATTTTGATTCATACTCGGATTTAATTCCCTATTTTGACAGCAGTAGGACTTGGTTACATATCATAATATAAATTTCTATTTAAGTTCGATTACTACTAATTAGTGAATCTCAAACAAATTTCTCAATCATAGATATAAGATTTGTAAATACATGAAGTTTAATTAATTAGAACGTCCTAATAAGTACTCTCTAAATATTTTAAGAATATCAAGAAACTCAATTCCCGTGTACTAAAACCTAAACTAGTTATAATAGCAATGATTCAATCTATCTATGACCAGTTCAATATATCTTATTCTGAATATTGTGACTTAAAGTATAAAATTTATTAAGACTTTTAGCTAGAAGAACAAGTAATTACGTGAGATTTAATTTATCAAATGAAAAATTAACTCAACAATCATTAAATTAATAAAATGACTTTTCATAAAAAAATACTAAACATATCATTTTACTAAATTGGATATCTAATATATATGGTAGAGAATGTGTAAGTTTGAAGTTTCACCTTAGATAGAAAATAGAAAAGTTGTATAACTTATAAGTGAAAAAAATCTATAATCTAATACTTTAAGGTTTTGGATTGAGAGTAATGTCATATTCTCTTATATGGTTGGTTCATAATCAATTTGTAAGAATCTCCCATCATGAGAGGAGGAGGATAGAAATACAATGTGTTGGATTAAATGTGATAATCTCCCCCCTCTTGAGAAGAGGAGGAGAGAAATACAATCTGTTGGATTAAAGGTGGTAATCTCCCCCTCATATAAGTGGAGGAGGAGAGAAATATAATATATTAAGTTGAAGGTAGTAATATCTATCTTGTAAGAGGAGAGGAATACAATGTGTTAGGTAGAAAGTGATGTCAATTTTTTAAAATTTAATTTTATATTAATTTAACATAGTTGAGAGATAGATAAAATTAATTAAAAAATATTTCACATAATTCAACCTATAATATTAATATATGTACACATAATTATAAAATTAAACCTTACACGTAAGTCAAAATAAACTCTCACTTTTCATCTTAAATGAACTAATATCCAGTCTTTTATTCTTATCAACCCAATTTCCTCTTAAAAAGAAAATCTGAAACTTGGATAATATGGACACAAAATTCTTCGGATGAGTCGACCATCAATTACTTTTAAACGTTAATAACTAAATATTTGGTGGCGTAAACATTATACTAATTGAAAAGTTATTTTCTAATACTAAACATGTTTTCTTATATATCGTTCTTTAAAATATTTTTTTTTCTTTGCAAAATTCTTCTCATATTTAATTATATAATTTAGACAGAACTCTTTAGTTTATTTCTCTCTTTTATTTACTGAGTATTCTATTTTCAATAAGACAAGGATTTATATAAAGAAATAAGGAGATCACTGACATTTAAGAAAAATATTAAACCCTATAATTAACAAATCAAGATAAGGCTTAAACATTTGGAAATTACTGAAATTTCTGGGTAGCCAAATTTAGTAATTTTATAATTTTCTCTTTACTTGCATGTAATTATCTAGGCCTAATGACAATTTGAATTGATATTTTTCTCAATCAGAGATGTCTGTGTGAAGAGCTTTTCTCAATTGTTATCACTATCCTTATCTATCTCTATGTCGTCACTCTCAATGCCAACAAAAACATGTGAAAAGAAGGTAAAATGAGAGCCAATGATCTACTTACCAACCATCTCTAATAATAACAAACATTTTATCATACACGAATCTTCATCTGTCGCAGTAGCAGACTATCATATTCATGAACCATTACCCTACTGTGATTTTGGTATATATTGTATATGTGTACGCAAACGAATCAGTGATCCTTTTAGAAACGGAGAGAGAGAGTTAGAAGTTGTTTCTTCCATGGCTTGCAGCTTTCCTGATGTGTTTTGCTGGATTCAGAAGCTTCCACCGACCTCAGAATGGGAAACAAATTCCATGTCTCTAAACATATGTTCTTCAAGCTCTTGCCAACCATGTCTGAATCTTACCATTCCCAAAAACCAACATTCCTCAAAACTCTCCTTTGTCATTATTGCAGACTGTAACGTTCCTATCCATCTTTGGACCTCAAAACCTTTCAAGCATGCAAGCTCCAAAACTACTAAGTTAATAGATGAAGAAACTATTTCCAATCTCTTTGTTAATTTCATCCAGGCCATCCTTATCTATGGCTCCAACAAGAACACTTCCTTCCTCAGGTTTCCAAAACTTGACTCCACTCCCAACCTTTCAGACGTTTTCAATCTTTCTTTCTTCACTCTCTTGTTCCTAGTTTGCATATACGAAGCTCCTGCTGCAGATTTTCGTTCTGGGTGTATTAGTAACCTAAAAGACCATTTGACAGGTTTACAGTCAAGAAAAGCATCAAATATGCTCATGAAACTCTTAGGGTCTAACGTAGAAGAGTTGTGGATGCGTTCTGTGAACCTTGCAGTCACTAACTGGGTTGGGGAACTCGAAGCACATTACAACCCCTTCACAACACCGTGTCCTTTATTTTCTTATGCGCTTTCAGCAACTGGGTTATGGAAAGTGCAGTTGTATTGTCCCCTCATAGTCATGGATGTTGAGAATTCAAAAAGCAATCCAGCTAGCGAGAAACTCCAATTCTCCCTCAAATATCACCATGTGGAAGGTGTTCTTCAATTCAATCACAAAGTCTTAATCAAAGAGGAATGGGTTGAAATCATGGTGGACGTTGACAACATAAGGTATCTTAACTACCAAAATATTAACATTTAAAAAAAAAAAAAAGTGATTTTGTTTATGAAAGTTATAACAAATGGTACTTAATTTCTTACTTATTATATTTTCCTTGTGGGCAGGTGTGATGTTATAAAATTGGTGAATGAATATCTTATGAAGGAACGAGGGGCTGAATCTGAAAAACATTTTCCTTCCAGAATATCTTTACAACTTACACCCACTGTCCAAGACCAAGTTTTGAGCCTATCAGTTGGGAAATCCTCGGAGAACCCACGAAAAGAATTTGGTGTTGACAAAAGTGTAGAAGCGTCGTTTGAGCCATCCGTTCCCTTGGGACTCAAGGTGTCAGCTGGAGAGTCCACAACAGTGAGTTTGAAGCCTTGGAAATTTGAAGAATCTGTTTATGGCTACACTGCAAATTTGAATTGGTTTCTTCATGATAGTGTGGATGGCAAAGAGGTTTTCTCATCAAAGCCTTCGAAGTTTGCTATGATTAACCCAAAGTCATGGTTCAAAAATCGATACTCAAGTGCTTATCGACCTTTCACCAGGCAAGGGGGAGTTATCTTCGCAGGTGATGAATATGGAGAAAAAGTGTGGTGGAAAGTGGACAAAGGAGCCATAGGAAAAACAATAGAATGGGAGATAAGGGGTTGGATATGGTTAACATATTGGCCTAACAAACGAATAACGTTCTACACCGAAACTAGGAGGTTCGAGTTTCGAGAAATATTATATCTTCATGTTGCTTAGAGGTTGTGTTGTGCAAACTATAGTTTAAACTTTTAATTCCTTAGTTTTGTAAGATAAAAGTCAACCTTTTGTATTAGTTTGATGATTTAGGGACACAGTGTACTACTTTTTGCACTTTATTTTAGAAATATATTCTTTATCATTAATTTGCCTTAATTAATTCCACTTATTATAAGAAAAACATCTACAAAAGTTTGGATATGGTAAAAATATCTAGCAAAGGAATAATTTTTTTGCAATAAAATTAGAAGGTTAGAGAAATAGTCCGTCTTGGCGTTGTTTAGAGTGATGCAATTTATGTTGAGCTTGTGATTCCTTATTTGTAAAATAGAAATAACCTTTTGTTTTAGGTTAATGATCCCGGTACACGATTATATTATAAGAATATATTTAAAATAGTTTCTAATTTTTAATCATATTTTATATTTTTTAATCTTTAATTATTTTGAAGATTTGAAACAAACAGATAAAAATTTTAAAAATATATATTAAAAATGAGTCCTTAATGGCCTATTAAATAGATTAATAAGCTTAATTAAGACTTTTATATAAGTTAGTAGATTATAATGTCCAAAAAATTATAGGAAAATTTAATATTTTTTGGTGTTATTCTCAGAGTTTTAATCTATCTCAAAAAAAATTATTTATGATATATTCTTATTTATTTATATCTCACCTAATATATTTAATAATTCATAATTTTCTTTTTACTTTTCTAATAAAAATATTTTAAGTTCAAAATTTATTCTAATAATTTATGTAATTTATTACTTTTCTAATATACATTGTCTTAAAAGATAAGGAAGTAGACATAGTCAACGTGTGGGTTATAACCGGTGAACCAATTTGGTTTATCATGGGTTTGAGTTGAGTTTAATTTTTTTCATTTCTATCAATAATGGGTTAAAAATGAACTGACTCATCTAACTCACGAGTTAAGTAAGTTTGAGTAGGATAATGGTGGGTTGACATTCATTTTAAATTTTAAAAATAATTATAATAATTTAATAATCATAATCTATGTTATTTTTGTCTGTCCATATTTATTCCATGTCCCATTTTAAGTCACCATGTTTGTTAAGTTTGTCGCACCAATGCGTTTCAATTACATTATAGTATTTGTTGTTTTTTAGTCTCCGTATTTCAGTCTTGCATTTGAATCGTGCCACAATATTTGTCACACTATCATATTCATCGCACCCTTACATTCGTCTCGTCACCACACGCATCATGTTTAAGTTGTATTACAGGATTTGCTAGTGCATCATGTCATTGCGTTACAATCTCAGGATTTAGTTGTGTTTATTAAAAAATAAATACAAAAAATATGAGTTAATAAGCCAACTCACCTAATCCGTAATAGATTGAATCAAGTTATGAAATTTTTAGTTTGTTGTTGAATTAAGTTAAGATCGTCTATTTTCAACTCAACTCATGATAAGTCAATCCATATAACCCGGAGACACTCCTATAAATAATATAAAAAGAATTATTATTATTATTATTATTATTATTATTATTATAAACCTATGTCTTTATTCAAATATAACATTAATATTGAATATAAAATATTTGAAATAGTTGTAATATATAATTAATTAAAAAAATATTATTTATTTAATGAGAAGGAAGAAAATGACATTTTATGACAGTGTGAGGTGGTTACTGTAATTTTAAAAGAAAAATATATCATTATTTTTATAGACCTTAAATACACTATAAAGCCTAAGAAACTTTTCAAAATTGTTAAACTTTTAAAATCGATTTAATATATCAGCAGTAAGTCTATGTTTTTTTTTTAATTATTAGGTTATTAAATTAAAATTAAGTTATAAATTTAATAATTCTTTTTTAAGTATTCCCGAAGTTTTTTCATGACAACTTAAAGTAGTCAGAAAAACAATTTAATTAAAAATATAAAAAATAAATATCCAATTATGTAGTTTTGAATTTAAAGACTTAATTAGAAAAGTTTAAATAACGTATTAAACCTTTTAAATGAGCTTATCGAAGATACCTACCACAATGCCGCGATGGGAGGGTCCACGTCAGAGGGACAAGGGAGGCACTAGTCACAACCCGGCGCACGTTAGTAAGCAAACGTTCCTAGATTGGAACGGAGAAGGTGATTAGAGGGGCGGAAATCTCAAAGAGATATACAGTGCAACTAATTTATCCACCTCTTTCCTCATTCGCTTAACTGCACTCAGCCTCGCTTTTCTTTATAAACTTCTCTCCTCCATCGTTTTTCCCTTCCATTATTCCATTTCCCTGTTCTCCCATACCTCTCGCGCTCTCTCCCCATGGAATCCTCCGCTGCCATTCGATCCTTTCACTGTATCTCTCTCTCAATCTGTATCTACTTTTTTGTTATGAATGTACTTTTCCAAATGCGATCTCTGCTTTTGTGTTTACGATATACTGATATCGCTGTGTTCCTTTTCTGTTTTATTTGGTTTAATTTATGCGACGTGTGACGGAATTTGAAAACGATTCACATAGGTAGTTTGTTTTTGGAAAACGAATTCTGTACATCTGGATTAGGTTTATGATTTTCGAGCTAATACGGGAAGTATCTGCGAATGAGCTCTAGATTTGTGATTGTGTTGTTCCCAACATTTGACTGTTGCGTTTATGCTCTTTTCTCATTCCGTGCTTTTTTTAAATATCGTTAGTTATATGAAGTGTTATATTCGTTTTGAATTAAATGCTGAACATATGACGGAGTTTCTGCTTCTGTGGTTTATTTATTCAATTTTATTGCTAGGAATTCAAAACACGGTTATGCCGAGGCTCTAGATACTCTTTTTTAGATTTGCACGAAGCTTTGAAACGTTTCATCCCGGAAGTAACTAATTGTATTAGCTTACGTGACTTGTTCCTTATTGTGTGATATGTGAAGCTTAATTTAACCTCAGAAATGAACATGAAAATGAGGTAGCAGCAAGAAAGTTATTTTATGCTAATGAGTAGTATCATTTGTTTACAAGAATAACCACACGAGCATAACATTTTTCATTATGTTAGATGACTGTTGTACTCCTTCATGTTCGTACAAATAACCATAGGATCCCGTCACCTAAGAGCACTTATATGTTGTGTACTATTTACTGTCAGAAATATTCATGTTCTGTTGCTTATTTTATTCTTTTGTTGTTCTATTTCTGTTAAATAGAACAATGAGTTTGGTTTTTCCCATGTCTTTTTGAAATAGGCTTAATTCCTTTTGGAAAGAATCTCAATGTCTTCTTAAAGGGTCAAAATTGCCAGATGCTTAATAACGACTCTTCGATTTCAGATCCCATGGGCACTATGTCCCATATGCGACCTTCCCGTGAGAAACAAGTTATAGTTCCCATCCAAAATGTCCGATGGAACTCTAAAAGTAAACTTTTTATCCAGCAGTTGGCATATGATCAGAAGCACATTAATTCCCGCGTGAAGGGGAACAACAAACTAGTTTCATGTGCAAAAACAGCTGACGCTATCAACACATCCAAGTCTGATGATGGTGGGTTATATTGATAGTGAAATGAATTATGTTCTTATTTTTTGTTCTTGTTGACTTTTGTTTGAATGAGAAAAGTCTGCTAATCTTATTTGATCTTAGTGTAATTATCTTCTTAGTTATAAATTTTAAGTGGTTGTTTATGTTCTTAATTAGAGATACATTAATCAGTCGCAAAATTTTTGGGCTGCAATTTTATATTTTTATATATATGTGATCCAAGATAATCTTCCTGAACTCTTCTATACTTAAAGGAAAGAGAAAAGATAGAAAAAAACTCTTCCAAGTAACAAACAAAAGATTTCATTTTTATTGTTTATTTTTTTATTTTTAAGTTAAAGCTATTATGTTATTTACATAGATAAGTAACAGTAGGAAATCTTACACACAGACTTATGTATATATATATACATACATACACTATAACTGTGTTATAATAGGCTATTAGAATAGCTTCCCTTTAATAAATTTTTTATTTATATTCAAATTCCTTGACCTCACATTTATTTATGATGTGCAGCTTCTTCAGATAGTACTCCACAAGGCTCATTGGAGAAGCCTTTGCAACCTGCTACTTTTCCTAATGGATTTGAGGTCTATAGCTATTATTTCCTGATTTACTTGCTGATCATATTTTTATTAGTGAAAGATGATAATTTGGTGGGAATTAGCCATAGTATGCTCATGAATACAAATACTTTGTTAGCTTTTGGAAGAAATAAATACTAGTTATGATAGTTGGATTTATCCAAGACTGCATAATTTTTTACTGTCCTGTTTCAATGTGAATCTGATAAAATCACTACTTATGTCTTGTTTGGTTATCAGGCTTTGGTATTAGAGGTGTGTGATGAGACTGAAATTGCTGAACTGAAAGTAAAGGTAACCTTCTTCCTTCTTATTTATGCTTTTGTAAAATTTGAAGTGCTATATACAAATATAATAGCAAGGATGAAAAGAAACTTCAGTGAGTGTTATAAATGGGTTTTTTTTTTTTTTTTTTTTTTTTTTTTTTTTTTTTTGCAATTCACACTCAAAACAGTGGCTGGATGGAGTTGTCCATAGCCCTGTCATTAACTGTGTGCTGAAAATTCTGTCAAATGATGATTTTAATTTATGCAAGATATCACAGGCTTATAGAAGATGAGGCAATGGTATGGTATTAATGTTTTTTTGTCAAAATTGTAGCATGTTGTAATTGCAACTTGATATTATGGTGCCTTTGTGCCTAATGTCCTATCTCAATATACAATATTTTTGTAATTCAAATTTGATCATAAAAATTTGTATCATCTCAGCTTTGTTTTTTTACAACATTGTTCCTAATAACTTTAATATCACTTCAAATCTGTTATATTGTCTGGTTCATCAAAAGAAGCATGCTTTTAGCTGGATGACCTTGTACATGACCTTACTGACTATTGTTGTAGGTTGGAGATTTTGAAATGCATATTAAACGAAACATTGGAGCAATAAAGGTTCCTTTGTCTAACATTTCACCAACTACACCTCCGCCTATTCCATCTAAACCTATGAATGAATCAGCACCTGATACCCTGCCACCTTCACCTCCAAAATCATCTTCAGAAAAGAAAAATCCATTTGTTGATGCTTTCAAAGAGAAATCACCAAGATTGGCAGCATTAGAGGCTTCTGGTACTGATACCTATGTCTTTGTACCATCTCCCACGGTATGTCATCCATCATAATTTAAGTTTTAACTTCTGCTTTCACTAGTTATATCTGGCTTGAGCTATTCAGAGTTTGCTATCACTGATTTTTCCTTCTCATTAGGTTGGCTATTTCCGAAGAGGTAGAACAGTGAAAGGGAAGAAGCAACCTCCTGTCTGTAAAGAGGTACGTGAGATGTGCTTCTCATCATCCATCATTTGTTATGACCTAGATCAGATAATTCACTTGATATTCCTTCCATCTTGTGAAACCATTGGATTTTGATTTATATGTGTTTGTTCTTCATTAAGATTTGAGTAGTGATTCATTAACAACCATCATTCCCCAACTAATTTACAACGCACTTTAATAATATAATAATAGTATAAATAAAAATTTAAAAGTTTTATTATTATTATATTATTAAAGTGAGATGTTGAATTAATGTTTGGTTAAAAATGAGTGTCACTCAACTTATCATTTTTCTGAAGATTTTGCAGTGCCCAGATTATTTGTTTTTTATTTAGGGCCTAACTGCTAGCACTGTGAGCTGCCCCATGTAATACTGCAGACATAATAGTTGCAGTATATGTATCAGCCTGCTTGCTTGTCAGCCTAGTCTCCCGATGTGACCTTGTTATCATGCATATGTTGGATTCCGAAATAAATTTAAGTCTTCATGTAAAACGACTTGAAATTTACAGTTATAGTCTCAGATACTAGTACTGACTTTATTATTATTCGTATTTTTTGTATTGTACTGTTGCTTCATCAAGTTGTTTGAGAACTTCACTTATGTTGACCTGACTACAGATGCTTTTCAATATATTTATTTCGTAATTGAATTTTAGGGTGATTTAGTCAAAGAAGGGCAAATCGTAGGGTATTTGGATCAGTTTGGCAATGGACTTCCAGTCAAGGTGATCTTTCTTTCTTAATTGTGGTTCATTCCTTAATACGCACTACTTCTGACTAGTTTACTTTTTGAAATCTGGCAGACTGATGTGGCCGGACAAGTGTTGAAGCTACTTGTTAAGGATGGAGGTATAATAATGTCTATGACAGACCTATTATTAAAAAAACAAGTAGATTTATTGTCATGGTACTAATGCAATACAGGGCTTTTGAGAAAACAAAGAGAGCAGTACTGTTCATCCAAAATTGAATAGTTAAAGCAATGGTGTGAGTCCACTATATTGAAGACATTTTTTAAAGAATGAATTTAACCAACTTGGACACTTGAGGTTTGTTTGGACAAACTTCTCCCTAACTACATCTAAAAGAGAAAAATAGGATGAAAGGTTTAAATTAGCTTTTAGATAAGTTAAAATTAACTTAGCATAAGCTAATTTGGAGAAGTTCTCTTGTATAACTTTTTGTAGATTTATATTTTAAACTTGTCTATAAGCTAATTTTAGCTTATAGAGAAACTCATTTTATTTTTTCTTATTTTTTTCTAATGAAGTGCATATGGAGAAGCTTGTCAAGAAACGTCTTTGGTACTTGACCATTTTCGAACTTGTATGTAGGGAGGAAAATTGATCTTTTTATTAAAATGGCCAGGTTTTAGGCTTTAAAAAAATCTGACTAGCCGACCTGTTTATATAGCACTATTATATATTTTATATATACATTTTATATAATAATTACTATTAACAACAATTTTTATAATAAAATATAATCTAGTTTTAGAAGCCATTGGTCCATATTTACACCTCCACTAAGTAATAAAAAGCTATTTGTTTATTAATATAAATGTTGTAGTTAAAATAGCAGAAGAGATGAAAGAATAAGTTGCTAACACTATTATTTATTTATAAATTGCTATTACTGTAATTTTTAAGATATATAATAATACATGCTGTGAACAAGGCCCGTTGAACTCTTTAGACTTGTTGATCTTGTTAAGCTTATTGAATTGTTTATAATAGTCATGTAAATAAACTTTCAAGTCATACCAGACTTCTAAACAAGTTAGACTAAGGCTTAAAAAAAAGAAAGACTTACAATAGGTCAGTCTCAAACTTAGTAATGATGATATAAGCCAGACTTAGGTCTACCAAAGTTTAGTCTGATCTGATCTATTGCCACCTCTACGTGTATGTATTTATGTATGATACTCCAGGATCATGGATGCCTAATCGCTGGCTTTATGGCTAGCATGATGTCATCCAGGATCATGGATGCCTAATCGCTGGCTTTATGGCTAGCATGATGTCATCATATTAAAACACGGGCATGTTGGGCTTGATTTGTTTAGTTTGAACTATGAAGCCTTGATAATTCAAAAATGGCAAAGTATGCGTATGCGGTACTTGCATTGTATGCAATACCATACTTATGCAAGGAGTATCCTCCACTTTTTTGTTTCAATATTTTATTGACCGTACTTATGCGAGACACTCTAGTACTTTGAATAGAAATTAAATTCAATCCAAACTTTATCTTTTCCTATATGTCTTCGAAGCTATAGTGAATAGTACTAGGCAATCACAGAATCCATCCTTCTTTTGAGTAGGACAAATAATGCTGTTTGTTGTATGTTCATTGGGAAATGAATATATTCTGATATGATTATTTGAAACATGCGTAACTATGTTATTGTTGTTATGATTATAGGTATTGTTTTCGTGATTTGTGATCGTCATACATAATTGATATAGTTATGTATTTGTGGAAAAAAAAAATGTCTGTTAACAAATATTGTGCATTTATGCAAAGTGCGTATGACTGTGTTGCGTGTGTGTTTGTCTTTAATATCTCTAAGCTGCATCGTATTTTTTGCTTTCAGTAATTGTTCTCTCTAATTTCAAAGATATCTTAAAACAGAAAATAAAGAGGAAAATAATTTGACGCTTTTATAATGATCAGTGACAGCAAGAAATAAAAATAGAAAATGTTTTGTCAAGCCATTGGAATCTAGGATACGTACTCTTATTTAATTATCATACCAAACAGTGGACATCTCTAATCTTGTATACTTTTTCTATCAGTAGCAGGATATTCGTTATAGATCACTTTTGTTTATTATAATTTACAGTGTTAGTTATGCTGTTAGTTTTCTTAAGTTTTCTAGTTACTGTTGACTATTGACCGAATGGGAAAACATTGTTTAGCTCACAAAGGTATATTTCTGCTATGGCTGTGGTGATTTATTGATAGCGTAGTCCGTTGTTTTGCAATGTTTAGAGATCACTGTCAATGCTCAACATATTTAAACCTACTTTGCTACTTACACTCAACCATAGTTGCGATGAATTTCTTACTATTTTTTGTTTGTGATTGACAGAGCCTGTTGGTTATGGAGACCCTCTTATTTCAATCTTGCCATCTTTTCATGACATCAAGTGAACTAGCCTTTTACTGTTCTGATTTATCATGCGGCATTTTTTTTTTTTTATTAGGGAGCTATTCCCATATTGGCAAATGTTTTTATTAGGTGACGAATGATTGAAAATTATATTTTGTATACCAATTGCTAAATTGTACTGGATAACATTTATTCTGAGACCACCTTCTTTATGTATCTTAGTTGATGGACTTTGATTGTTGGCTTCTCCCTTTTTTTTTTCTCCCGAAATATTTGTGTAGAACTTGTTTTTGAGACTGTGGACCAGAGATTGAAACAACGTATCGCTGCTATGTATGGAAATGTATTCTCACCGAATAAGTATAAAATTCTAGGAGTTGCCAATCTAATTCAGTCACATTCCTAAATGGTAGGGGCAGATTGTTATGAATCGTGTTTTAAGGCTAAATGGCTACGTTGAAATTATTATTCAGGGAGATGGTAGCATCCAAGCCTAAACAATAACATTCTTAACTACTCTGAAATTCTTGGGGAGTAGTGTTTGTACACTGGATTTGATTGATTTAGAGGGGGAAAGTACTCAATGTAATTTTATCGCTTTTATTTACCCGTGAATCATCTTATTTTAAATTAAAATTTTGCTTTAATTAAATTTCATCTAAAGAATTTTGTTTTTACTAGAGAGATTGTAAATAGGAAAATTATAAGTTTACACCACTATTTCCATAAATATATATTCTACAACCAATTTAATAATATAATATTGATAAATAATAATAAAGTTTTAAAATTTATAAATTTATTATTATAAGGAAGTGTAGACTGGGAGTAAGGATTAACAGTTGTGTCAATTTTTAATCACTATTCTTAGTAAATAAATCATGAAATAAATAAAAAAAATAGAACAGATATTAATGACATTTGATGTATTTGAAGATATCACTGTAGTGTGATGCATAACAGTTTGTACCCAATTAATGTGTAATAAAATATATTGAATTTTGATAATACAAATATATAATCATGTACATTTGTAGAATAACTTGCACTAACAAGGTATATCAATTAAAAAGAGTCAGAGAAACAGGGAATGAATGTGATATGAAAACGGTAAATAAACTAATGAAATATGTTAAAAAAAAATGTAAATGTATCTGTTTATTCTATATTCTAATACAGATAGCCGGTTTTGAATGGTAGGACGGATGAAGGTGAACAATCTCTAAATTATGGAGGCTTGGTTTTCTTTGAGTTCAAGATATTCCGCATAAGCAGTATCTCATTCAAATTTTTTATAAATATTAAAATAAAATATTAAATAAAAAATATTTTAAATAAGAAATATTTTATATTTTTTTATCCTTCGTATTCTTTCATTATTTAATAATAATAATAATATATTATTTTATCCTAAAATTATTAATCAAAGATCTATCAATATATTAAATGAGTTTGTGATTTTGTTAGTACATAAAAATTAATTAATTAACTTTTTTGTTTAAATTAAGACTTTAATAACCTTAATTATACGAAAATAAGGATAAGAATAAGTTACTTTATTGTCTTTAAAATAAGCATCTATTTTATGAATATAGTAGGTAACTATTTTATGAGTGTAGTAAGTAAATGAAGTGGATAATGAATTTTAGGATAGAAGAGATAAAAACTATTGTTTCCATTTATTTAATCCTAATTTGATATAAGTTTTAAAATTTAAACAATTACTTAAATAATTTGTTTCATATCTTCATTCTTCATTTTAAATATCAACCTTTAATTATTTTTATAAAATGAAACAGAAATCACACCATTAATGATATAAGTTTTGAATTTTAAACATTGACTTAAATAATTCATTTCATATTCTCATCCTTCATTTTAAATATCAATTTTTAATTATTTTGATAAAATGTAACAGAATTCACATCATTAAGAATAAAGACATTTTCTATTATTATTTCTTAAAATAGATGATAGCATTTAATCACTATTTGACAATAATGGTATGTTTTTATCTTTTATATATTTAATCTTCTTTTGAAATTTCACTTAAATATAAAAATATTAATGACATCACCGAAAATTGTTGAACATGATTAAGTCATTACTAACTTTTAAAGATCATATTTGAATTGGAATTTGGCGTGTTAAGCATATTGTTTGTCAGTATTGAATACAAACCCCATAGAAGAACATGTCACCTGGGTTTCAACTTCTGGAGTATTATCTTTTCAGCCACAATTTCAGAACTGAGCTGAGTCACATCTGACTCAGATCAATTTTATCTTCAAACAAAAATCCAAAACAATTTTCACCTCTACAATCTATGGACACCAATGCTTCACGTACACCTCTAAATCTCAGTTACTTTCGTCACAATCTCAAAATTCAGATACCATCTTTTCAATTTTTTGCCACCACGAAAAATGCCAACTTAATATTGGACATGAAAAAGGTATATTCCTCTATGTTCTAAGATTTTAATAGCTATGCTTTAAAATTGATTAAAGGAAGAGAAAAGTTTACAAAAGTTATTTTTTTTTATAAATTTAAGCAAATAATAATTACTATAATAAGGAAATTATGATTAAATTTTCTAAAAGAGTATGGACCTAGCAAAAATTACAATTTCTATTGATAATTTATGTGAAAAAAGAAATTAAGAATTTCCAAAATAAATAATAATACTAATGATTATGTAATCTTGTAAGGCTGAGAATGAAGGAATCCTTTTGTTGTGTTGCGTGGTGTTTGTGTGTGGCAGGACGAAAGAGGAATGAAATAGTGAAATAACAAAGTTCAAACCTTGCGGTTGGTGAGAAGGTCCCAATTCATAGCAGATGAAGCCACACGCTCAGGCTTCTTCTTTCCTCACTCCACCCCCGCACGTGCCTTTCTTTCGCGCCACCACTTCCGCTCGTGCCGCACCGGCGGAGTCTCTTCATGCTGCCGCCGCCAACGAATTCCGCCGCGTCTGGGCAGCGAAACGCCGCCGGATCCACCTGTCCGTCCGCCACTCAGCTTGCGTCGCCGCGGCTTCCAATGGCTCCGACGGCGACGAGAGTCTTCCTCGGAGCAGCCGGCGCGGCGTGCTGATGGCGCCGTTCCTGGCCGCCGGCGCGTCGATTCTGCTCTCTACGGCTGCGAGGGCGGAGGAGAAGGCAGTGGAATCGGCTCCGGCGGCGCCGAAGATTGAGGAGGTGAAGAAGAAGGAGGAGGAGGAAGTGATAACGTCGAGGATTTACGACACGGCGGTGATAGGGGAACCGTTGGCGATAGGGAAAGAGAAAGGGAAGGTGTGGGAGAAGTTGATGAATGCGCGAGTGGTATATTTAGGGGAAGCGGAACAGGTTCCGGTTCGAGACGATAGGGAATTGGAGCTTGAGATTGTGAAGAATTTGCATAGGCGCTGTTTGGAGAAGGAAAAGAAATTGTCTCTTGCGCTTGAAGCTTTTCCTTCTAATCTTCAGGAACCGCTCAATCAGTATATGGATAAGAAGTAATAATGCCTTTGAATTTGTGATTAATTTTTAGATTCTTGCTTGAATCCCTGTGTGGATAAAGTTTTCAATTAATAGTGATAGGATGAGAAATCTAAAGGGCAAATCGAATTAAGTTTTTCCTCTAAGCTGAAATCAACTCATGAAGTTCAGCTTTTGGAAAAGTCAAAAGTAAGATATGTTGAGTGGAGCAAGGAGAATGGAGTTGATTACGAATATGTAAATTGAGGGTACTTGTCTGTTGTTATTGCTATTGTTGGCTTGAGGAAGAATCTTCTAGTTATGTGATTCTGAATGTTTCTATGTTAAAATGGATATTAATCCATGGAATTAAAGCTATGGTATTTCTCCTATGCCATGTTGACTTTGAAAGTGGATACAGTATTGATGTTTGATATGCTCCTATTTTTTTGCAGAAAGTCATGTTACCTAAAATTAGAAAATTTCAATTGTTGTCAATTATTGAGGAGTACTTTTTGTTTGTTACAGATTTCTGCTGTCTCTCTATTTCATGGCTCGCTATATTTCTGTTAATCCCTGCTTCTTTTGTCTTAAGTCAGATTGCTTTCCATGATTCTACATTACTTGTACTAAAACCCAACTTTCATGGCAGGATAGATGGAGATACCTTGAAGTCTTATACGTTACATTGGCCCCCTCAAAGATGGCAGGAGTATGAACCTATTCTGAGCTACTGTCGTGAAAATGGAATCCGTCTTGTCGCTTGTGGTACTCCACTGAAGGTATGCAAATTATTGTCAAAACTCATGTTGTTCTTTCAAATGTTTATTTTGTCTCTGAAAATTATGATTGTGGGTAATTAGGAGAAAGTGGAAAATGTTAGTGTAGTAGATTCTCAATGGTACATGTGAAACTGATTTACCACAAGTGCGAAAGGTAGGTGCAGACATTTAGTAAAAAGGCAGCCGTAAGGATTTTAATTGCATTAGGACTAGAAAAAATCTAATCTAATCTACATAAGACAAGCCCTGAAAAACTCCTAATCCCCAAGGTTCCCATATTAAGCAAAAGGTCAAATAAAATGTATTGTTTTAAAAAAATTTGATATGATTATGGAAATTTTCCTCGGGTAGTTTGGTCATGTCATGACATGATATGAGAAGAAAGGGAACATAATCTGTTGAAAGAGTAGAGGACTACCTGAAAACACTTTATGAGCAGTAAATAGATTTCTCTTCAGATGTTTTGTTTAAAATTTGGTTTTTGATAGAGCTGAAAATGAAAGGTTTCAATTTATTCATTTAGCCAATTCCAACCTGTAGGATTAGGCCCAGTTCTTCCATTGCTAGGTCTAGATTCGACTCATAACGATGATAATTATGATTTGATCATTTTTCTCATCATCAGATCTTAAGAACTGTCCAAGCAGAAGGAATTCGTGGGCTTACAAAGGCTGAACGTAAACTATATGCTCCTCCAGCTGGTTCAGGCTTTGTATCAGGCTTTACTTCTATTTCACGTAGATCTTCAGTTGATAGTACTTCAAATCTGTCTATTCCTTTTGGTCCAAGCTCATACCTTTCTGCACAAGCTAAAGTTGTTGAGGAGTATTCTATGTCCCAGGTTATCTTACAAAATGTGCTTGATGGAGGGGCCACTGGTATGTTAATAGTAGTGACTGGTGCAAACCATGTTATGTATGGATCTAGAGGAACTGGAGTGCCAGCAAGAATTTCAGGAAAAATACAGAAGAAAAACCAAGTAGTTATATTACTTGACCCTGAAAGACAATTCATTCGCAGAGAAGGAGAAGTTCCCGTGGCTGATTTTTTATGGTATTCTGCTGCCAGACCCTGTACTAGAAATTGCTTTGACCGGGCCGAAATTGCTCGGGTTATGAATGCTGCTGGTCGGAGACGAGATGCCCTCCCACAGGTTAGCCAACAATTACAGTCAATAGTTTGGTTGATGATTACTTTTCTTGCTCTGTAGATCCTCCTAATTTTTTGCCCTTTATATCCTCTCATTGTCCATTTAGGTGATACAAACACTAGAGATTTTGCATGTTGCCAGGTGTCTTGTGTCTGTACCTATTGAATTTTATTGTATTTTTGTATGTAATTTATAACTTTGGTATTGTTGATGAGCATTTTAGAGCCCATTTGTTCCAACTTTTTCCATGAAAATCTCTTCTAAATAGATTTAGCGATAGAAAAATCAGAGTGTGTCTGTTTATTTATAGAAACTACTTTGAGTAGGAGTTGAAATAAAAAATCAAAATTGTACCAACTTTTTTATGATAAGAAGTATATTTTATAGTTGTTGTAACCAAAATAGTTTCAACTTTACATTATGCAAAAAATAAATCACCTTTTTTTTTTTTTCTAAAGATTAAACAAAGGCCACCCACCCCTTTAATTGATATCTCTGTTTTTCATTGTTTTAATTGAAACGAATTATGTAGCTCAACCAACTGTGGGGGATTTCATTTTAATGTTTACCATTCTGTAGTGCTTTCTCTGCACCATCTTCCTTTTTCATTATATTCATATTCCTTTTGAGGTTAGATTCTTTGGACAACCATATATGATGATAAGACTTCAAAACTTTTCCAATGGGTGAATTGTGAAAATGAAGTCACTATTTTTGTTTTCTTTCCCTTAAAGTAACGTAACCCTGGTGTATAGTTTGGCATACATGGGTTCAAGGTTTTAAGGAGAATAATTGAGCAGTCACTAAAAATACTAAATTTAAATTAGCTGCATTCTTGCATGTCATGATTAGATCGTTGGTGCGCTTCTACTTTCTACTTCTAGTTATTTTTCTACTTTCTACTTCTAGTTATTTTTCTATGCATCTGTTTACATTTATGTGATTTTACTTTAAACAGGGTATGCCAATATTGGTTGTCATTGTGAAAATGGGAATATTTTCCTTTTGATTGCAGGATCTTCAAAAGGGAATTGATCTAGGTTTAGTATCTCCAGAGGTGTTGCAAAACTTCTTTGATCTAGAGCAGCATCCTCTGATTTCAGAACTCACTCACCGTTTCCAGGTAAATTTTTATTTGAAAAATACTGTGCTTTTAATCATGAGTAAATTTCATCACTCTGTTCCCTTTATTGCCTACCTCTTCATCTGGTTCTTTTTTGTATAGGGTTTCAGGGAAAGATTGTTGGCAGATCCCAAATTCTTGCACAGATTAGCCATAGAAGAAGCTATATCAATAACAACTACATTGTTGGCACAATATGAAAAGCGGAAAGAAAACTTTTTCCAAGAGCTTGACTATGTTATTACAGACACTGTCAGAGGATCAGTAGTTGATTTTTTTACAGTGTGGCTTCCTGCACCAACTTTATCATTCCTTTCATATGCTGATGAGATGAAAGCACCTGACAACATTGGTTCTCTAATGGGACTTCTTGGTTCCATCCCGGACAATGCATTTCAAAAGAATCCAGCAGGGACAAACTGGAATCTCAATCATAGAATTGCATCAGTTGTATTTGGTGGGCTAAAACTTGCTAGTGTTGGATTTATTTCAAGCATTGGAGCCGTGGCTTCTTCAAATTCTCTATATGGTATTCGTAAAATCCTGAATCCAGCGGTTGTAACTGAACAACGGATTATAAGGTCACCAATACTCAAAACGGCAGTTGTATATGCATGTTTTCTTGGAATTTCTGCAAATCTCCGTTATCAGGTATGTAGAGAACTTGTCTGCTGTATAAAGTTTTGGTTATTACTGATGTGTAACAAAGGAAAATTGAACCTAGTTTCTGTCGGAAATGAAGGATAGTTTACTCCAGTTAGTGTAAAAGTTTCTCCTCTCTCCCAATTTTCCGAATTTTGGAAGGGAGCCAAAATTGATAGATGTGGGATTTTGCCTGCGCTTTACTCTCCTCCCTTTTCTTCCAAATCTTTTAACTAGAAAGAAAGTATTATAAAATCCTTCCCCTCCATTATTTTCCAACCAAATACTATATTACTAAATACTGGATGCCACTAAAAGTAAAGGTGTAAAAAAAAAAACAAGTTCAATAACATCTATCATATCATATCTGATTTTGTAATTTTCTGTAATTCTTCTTTTTGACTACGTCTTTGGTTATATTATATATTATATGAATTATGTATCCATATAAAGTATGGAACTGTTCTTCTGTATTTGTACGGAAATTACAATTTTTTTTTATAAACAGATAATTGCTGGGATAGTGGAGCATCGGATTTCTGAACAGTTTGCTTCCCAAACATTATTTGTAAATATGCTTTCTTTTGTAGCACGGACTGTCAATTCCTATTGGGGAACCCAGGTCAGTCCTTTTTGCTATCTTCTATCTGCTTTTGGTTAATTTCAATTTTGTAAACTAGAATTCGTAAATTCTACTATTCTTTATAAAGTCATTAAATATTCTAATTTCAAGGAAATATGAGTTCGTTTGTGAAACACGAAAAGCAATGTCGTCTTTGGTTTGGGCATTATTTGAACTGACTAAAACCTCAAGACTCGAATAAAATTAGTGAATTATTCATCTGTACATAAATTTTTAAATCTGTCTAGGAGATCTCAATTTTGGTATTTTCATGAATGCTGCAGCAATGGATTGACCTAGCGCGCTTTACTGGCCTGCAAGTTAGAAAGACAGAGTCACCACCATCAGATTCTCCAAATCATGCTGCAATTTTATGCAACGAAACAGAAGAAGCCACCATTGATGAGATAGAAAAATAAATGAGGTGAAAATACGTTACGACATTTTTTCTTGGTAATTTGTATTATTCTTGAAAAGCTGGTAATATAGGCATAAAGGAATAGGTTCTTGTTTTCATCTTAATCTCTTTCTGCCTCTTTCTGATAATCTTGTACAAATTTTTGCCATGCCTATCCGCAGCTCACTGTACAAATTTTGATATTTCCCAGTTTGGTGAATGTAATATTTTTTTTTCTTTTTAAACGTAATAAATAAGTGGAATAAATAGAGGTCACTCAAATCGAAACCAACACAAGTTGTTACCTACTCTTGGCTTAAGGGAAGTATGTCTTGGTAAGTCTTGTTAAAATGGTATAAAAAATCAGGAACGCTTGTTTTGAAATTTCTCCTATGGCGTTTGACGTTTGTACACCTTTATAGGGCAATGAAGTTTCTATATATTTGCAGTAACCTTTGGTTTGGATTATTGCTCTACAATCCAACAGGGAAGACATACTCTGCGGATACATTGATTAGAAGCCAGAAAGCTCATGTCAAGACCCCAGAGATGTTCTGATTTGTTTATTTGGAAAGGAAGTGGTAGTTGAGATTTGGCTTAAAATTAAGGGAGTTGATTACGTGAAACAAACTGTTAAATGGTAATAGGCATTGAAGACTAAATATCTGTTTTTTAACTTTATAAAATCGCAGAATATGCTGGGAACAAGATCGTCGGACATTTTTATCGCAAGTGATTGAACATATGCCAGTGTATTTAATTTACTAGAGAACTTTATTTTGGTAACAATGAAACTGAAATGAGAATAATTTATAATTGGAACATGAAAAAGAGATTCCATTGTTCGAGCATATGTTTATCATATAAAATTATACATAAACTTTCAGTTCTTCTCTTCACCCTTCTCCTGATTCCTCCTTTCAACCAGCATTTCTTTGACTTTTTGCAAGGCATGTTCAAGGTTTTCCAGCTGCATAATTTTCCCATCCGTGAGTCTATCTCGAAATACTTGGTTAATCCTTTCGAAAAGGATTTAAAAATAAATCTTGATATATGTTTTAGCATTTAGCTCGCTGTTTCATACCTCTTGCCTGGCGAATCTGTTATACACGTATAATCCGCTGAACAAATCAAAACTATTTCCCACCATCGTCTCCTTCTGCAAGTATATTTAATTTGTTACGCAAAAGCATATATTATACTATGCCTAGTGGTGAAAAAAAAAAAAAAAAACTTTTAGAGGAAGTGGGGGAAATGTTATAACAACTGTACCAATTTAACAAGTTCCTCAAAGCCCTTAGTGTCAATAGGTGTGGATTTAATATTCATTTCTCCCAATGTTCTGATAAGAAGCAGTCAGATGTTGCACTCAGTGCGCATTTATAGCAATGTTTATAAATTGTTTAGAAAAGTAGAAGGCTACATACCTGCCAATTGTGTGTGTTATAAATTGGCTCTTCGCAGCTGCTTTGTCATGTTCCTCGCAAGTCATTTGTACCATCTTGCAACCCTGCGTAATATAAAAAACATAGGAAATGAATCTATAAATAATAAATGCAAAGCATTCACGACTGATTTTGTGCTTCTTTTGTAAACCACGCAACAATGGTCCAAACTTGCATAAAATCTGTTCATAGTAGCTCCAGGGGAGAATTGAAGTTTGAATTGTTTACTACGCATTAGTTTTCAATAATGACCATGGTTATGTTATGAGAATTTATCACTTCATTCCATGATGGGGATGTATAACCATGGTTGTAATAGTTTCAATTAGATTTATCAGATGCAAAGTCAACGTTTTAAGTTACTTAGCTTCCACCCTTCCTGTTTCTTTCTTCTTGATTAACATAATTAACCTGCCCCAATGCAAAAACGTGTTTCTTTCTACTTTGGTTATTGATGGGTATTGTTGATAAAGGCTATTAACCTACCTCACTTGCAAAAATTTGGATGAAACTAGAGCAGATAGCTTCATTTCTTATCCGAACTTTGTCATACATGAAAGTAAGACCTCTCCATCCATTCTTGCCAGTGACAGGTCCAAACATAGGGTGAGTGCAGAGAATGTCAGAGTGCTCTGGCAACTCTCGTAGCAGAAGGTCTCTCGGGTGCTCTTTGACTGAAAGAACATCAACAAATAGTGTTGGGCGCTTCAGGGAAGCTATTGGCATTGACCCGACAACCTCTGATAGCGATAATATCGATGTGCACAACACTATGACATCTATGTCAGCGGCAAGGAATGCGCTAACATCCCTGCAACAACAATAATAATAACGTTTGACATACGCATGCAATATAAAAATGGTTGTGTATCAAAATGCCTCACTGTGAAAGGTGAGGTAAATGGTTATGGTATGTATATATTGATATAATCTGAATGAAATTGAACTTGGTTTCTTTGGGAAAGATTTTAAAATTTAGTTTTACGGATAAAAAATATGTGGTTGAACGTAGTCAGTGAGATTTTTTGAAGAGAACATCATCAGAAATGTGTATATTGATGAATGACTTGGTTTACCTGTAAAAATGGATGCCCATTTGAAGGCAGAGGTCGGAGTAATCGGATCGAGAAGTTGCAGCGAGAGAGTGGCCTTGTTTTAACATTGTCTTGGCCAGAAATTGGCCAAAGGTGCCGAATCCAACTATGCCAATTTTGAGGCTTTGGGAAGAGGTCGATGATGACGAGGTTGACATGGTTGAGTTGAGAAACAAATGTGAATGAGATAGCTTTAGGAGAAAACAACAGTATCACAGGATTTCCTCTGCTGATGGAGGGCGAAGGTGACTATGCCTATTTAATGCTCCTCTAACCCTTGCCATACACGTTTACGTCAATTTCAAGCGTAACGCTATTATTTGTTATTTTATTTTACCTAAATCTTTTCCTCTAACTCGCGAGCTTTTTAAGCTCGCCAGCATCTTAAGATTCCTCACACTTTTCTTTAAAAAGAAAACTCGGTTATCTTCTTCTACCATCTTTGATGTTTACATGAACAGAAACAGGAATAACTTGCTATAAGGTTTTTCACCACAGTAAGGACAACAAATGAATTACAAATAAAAATGAGTTATTTTATATACTTTATTTTCTATCAAAAGTATTAACTTTTTATTTTAAAAATAATTGGAATGATACCCACGACTTAACATAACACCCAAATCGCGCTACTCAAGATGGTACTTTTTGTTTTTTAAGATTGTGAACTTGGTTAACGTGTCCCAAATGAACACTTTTTGAAGTCATTAAGAAAACAATTTTTAATTCTGATTTATTTTAGGTAAGGAAGCAACACGTCTGAGACACGACACGACACGATAAGTCGACCACGACAATTGCTTCAACACTTTCTCAACTGTCCTTCGCCACAAAACAAATTGGAGTAACACACACATTAAAATATTTCATCACTTCTTTTCATGTGCTAAATTAAATCAAATAACTTTTTCAAAATAAATTAACCACTTACTTTAAAATAATTATTATTATAAAAAAGTTTGAAAAATATTATTAATAATCTTTGTTTTAGTAGTTTCTAAACAAGTCTCTATAGAACAAAAAATTAAAAGAAATTTGGGTTGTATATTGCAGTTTTTAACGCTAAAATTAGTAATAATCCTATTTTTAAGGTTCTTTATTCTATAACATTTATTATTATAGCTTATAATTAATCTGTTATATTACAAGTCAAATTGGTTATAACATGATATAATTAATTGTGTGGTGAAATTTAACACAATTATAAATGTTGTTTACAAAAGATAAGCTTTTAATTTAAAATATTTAGAAAAAAAATCGAACGAAATCATTTTTATTTTTATTTTCTTCAATTTATTTCATATTGCTTCGGTTCTAAAAAAATTAAATTTGTTGAAACCAAATCAAATATTTTTATTTCATGAAAGTGAAACATTCTGGAAAGGTGTTGGAAAACAGAGCATTGATTTCTGCGCTGATAGTGGCCGTTGAGGGGTGGCGCGACATCAGCTGCTAGTCAATGGTTTTGTTATCCTTCCAAAAAAACACAATTATCTATTAAATATTTTTTTATTAGTGAAGAATTTCTCTGACCTAATACACTAATTCTACTCCTAATATTATAATTATGGTTAATCTAACAAGTTTACATAAATAGTAAATATCGAATAGATTTTCTATTTGCAGACACCACCAACCAAATGGATACGTTAGGTGTGAATGTGATGAAGATAGTTTAGAAAAGAGGGTGAGACTGCGTAGCCTTCATTCATGTGCCCACACTTGGTGGTGATACCGAATGCTCATATTAATATTAATATTAATATGCTTTTCTCTGTTCCATTTTGATTAAAAAAAGAAAAGTTTTAAAAGGTCATGTTGCATGCACTACCTAAGTTTATGCTTTAAAAAAGTGTTATTTTGACTTATGCATCCCTCCTAGTATATATACCATTGTCACAATTTTTCTTTTAAAATTTTGACTTTTAATTTTGAAAATTCTTTACAAGAGACCATTTTTTTCTAGAATATATAATTCTCTCTTAAATATTTAAATAATTTATATACTTAAGTATGGGTTTATTAATTTTATATTTTTTTAATTTTCTTTTTAATAGTTTTTTAACATTGTATTTCTTTGTAATTATATATTATTTACACAAAATGGAAATAGACACGACAATGAGATAGGTTAGAATCCTCACTTCCAACTTTTTTAATCATCCTTACCTCTATTTCTGTTCTAGTCAAAGTTAGAAAATAAATTTTCATCTTCATCGTTGAATCTTGGGTTTGTTCCCCTCCAACCTATCTTGTTTTACATTATTTCTAAAAAGTAATTATATTTGTAATAAATTATTTTTGATATTTTTTATGTAATTTTTATACAAAAATTATAATTTAACAATTTTATTCTTATTATTAATTAAATATATAGTTTAATTTATTATATTTATATTAAAGTATGTACGTAAAAAAATATTTAGGATATAGAATACTTATTATAATATAATAATAATAATAATAATAATAATAATATTATTATAATAATGTTCAAACATGTCCAAGACAATTACTAGACCACACGTTCTTGGACGGAAGTCGGTCCTGATGCAACATCGATACCTTTAAGCCAAGTCGAGGAAGTACTTAACTAGCAAATAGAAAATGCTAGAGCCCAAAACTCTATTCTGCAATGGATAAACCAGAAAATAGATAAGATCTTCACACATCTTGAAGAAACCGATGATAAACTCCAATATCTCAACTCCAATATGAGGAAGTACTACAAACAACTCTCTTTAGAGCTCTTGAGGCTAGAAGAAGATTGAAAAAATACCATTTTGGGAGAACTGTCTCACGCCAAAGAAAGGAAAATCAGAAGACTCAAGGCTCAAATATAGGAGATGGACAATTACATTGAGGAAAAAGTCAAATAACAAAAAACAAAGAAAGATTCTTATTCTTCCATGTTCACTTCATCTCCAACCTACTCCCGTTTTCAGAATTCAACCTAATCATCTTTCCAAAACCCGTCTCCATACTTCCGGCTATCACCACAAACCTCCTGATCATTACCCACAACCACTACTTACAGGTCACGGCCTAGACCAACAACACCAAGACCAGACAAAGGCAAGAAAGTTGTCACACCTTCTCTAGAATCTTCCTTTGAAGATTTATCTTCACCCAATAAATAAGACTCGTTTGACCCAGTCTTCTAAGACTCTCAAGATCCGTACTCTCAAATGGCTATAGAGCCTTGTTCCACTCCAACCTTCACAGATACTCATACAACTCTAACCTTTGTGGATACTCCTACAACTCCAACTCTTATGGATACTTCTATCAGCCCTACAATTGTTGAATTATATTCCTTAGAAGAGTCGAAAACCGAAGTTCCTACTTTTAAAGACTTAACCCAAATCCTGATGACTAACACCTCCCGATCAGATGTTAGGCATGGGCCCATATGACCCTCCTGATGAAGATGTTGACTCTGGTCTTTACTAGGACAAATGCTTCTTCAAAACTAAATGGTGGTTCTTGGTTTACTATTGATGACATCCCTCCAAGTCAATGGAGATCAAGGTTGATTGAATTTGGAGCTTGGTTAGACATCAAACTATTCAAAGACTCTGACTCCTATAAGGTCATCGAAGAATTCTACTGTAAAATGACTGAAACTCTCAAAGAGTGGTATCATAACCTCGAAGTTGTCCAGCAAGAAACTCAGGCAAGAGGTTGTATCACCTCAATGAACTTAATGACCCTAGCCTGAAGAATACCTATGTCGCATCCCTTCCTGTTGAGCTACAACTAGAACTGAATAGGATGACAATGTCTGTCTAGAAGAATTTCACCACTTTGATAATGGGTCAAATTCACCAGATGATCTTAGAAGCAGTTGACAAACTCTATAGACATCACGAGTTTTTTTTTTTTTACATCATGACTCTGAAAAGTAAGTTCAACAAAGTCTGCCAAAAACCATATCTTGAGATCAAATACAAGAAGCCCTGTTCAGGCAACTACAAGAAGAAAAAGCGGGAAAAACCACTTTTCCGCAAGAAGAAGAAGTTTAGAGGAAAAACACAAGACCAATGATGCTTTATCTGTAAAAGGAAATGACATATCTCCAAGAACTGTTTCCACAAAGCTGAAAGAGTCATAAAGCTTATCTCCACCCTCCAGCTTGATGACGATGTAGATATCAAGTCTCTCTATTCAGAACAAAGCTCTACAGATGAAGAAACTGTCTTTGCCCTCACCATCTCCTCTAACGAGATAGAATCAGAATATTCTAATGAATCAGAAACTGATATTGTTCCAATATTTTCTCTTTAGGAGACCAACCCTATCAATGTCTCTCCTCCACAATCATGCTTGGAAGTCCAGCTTCTTACTACGAAGTATGAGAAAGCCATCAAAGTCATAGTTTATCTTGACATAGGAGCTCAAAAGTCTATGATGGACCCTGACATACTTCCCAAAGAATTCTGAAAGAATGTAGCTGACGGAAAAATTTTCAAGACTGAGCTGATCACCAGAGCTCCAATTAGAATCAAATTCTTCCCAGAGTATACAGTCTGGTCCAAAGTAATTGGGAGTAAGCTAGGGAATAAGCTTCCCAATAAGGATATACTAGTAGGTATATTTTCTCCATAACTGACAAACTTCAGCTTCATCCCACAGGAATCAAGTTCAAAAGGGAGTTCAGATCTTTCACAGACATACCCAGACTCTTATCCCTCTCTGAAGCTCCTCCAGACTTTGAAGAAATAAGGAACAAGTTAGCCTCTATGTGTGCTAATGCTACGAACAATTTTCTCATCCCAAACCTCTATGGAAGAATCCTGAGTTTTTTGTACAGTTACCCTTCAAGCTTAACGAAGACGTCAATCCAACAAAGGCCACACATTTAGGAATGTTTCCGTCAGACCAACAGTTAGCAAGACAAGAATGCTAGGAATTGTTGAAACAAGGCCTGATCGAACTAACCCAATTCAATTGGGTCTGTCAAGCCTTTTATGTGAAAAAGAGGTCTGAATAAATCAGAGGAAAAAAGAGGTTAGTTATCGATTACAAATATCTTAATCATTTTCTTAAGGATGACAAATTTCCAATACCCAAAGTCTCATCCTTACCCACTCTGATAAAAGAAGCTCATATCTTTTCTAAGTTTGACCTCAAATCTGGATTCTGGCAATTATTTATTGACTTAGCTGACCGATATAAAACTACTTTTTGTATACCTAATGTCCAATACCCATGGAAAGTAATGTTTTTTGGGCTTAAGACAACCCCATCATTATTCAAAAAAGTCATGACAAAAATCTTTGAGTCCATACTAGACAGAGCGATCATTTACATTGATGACATCTTACTGATCTCACAAGATATGAACTCCCACAAATAGTTATTGGATTAATTTTTCGGAATAGCCCATCAACATGAGATTATGCTCTCAAAGAAGAATATCCACTTGGGCCAAGATGAAATTGTTTTCTTGGATATGCATTTCTGTCAAGGCTCTTATCAACAAGAACTCCTTAACTTCCTGGATGAAAATCTGACCATCAAGAAAATCCAACAGTTTCTTGGGATTGTTAATTGTATTAGGTAATTCATCCCTAACGTTGCCAGATACACAAGTCCCTTATCCAAGCTTTTAAAAAAGATCCACCTCCATTGGGACCAGAGCATACTAGAGCCATTAAGGAACTGAAGAAAATAGTTCAGACTCCTCCAACTCTTAAAGATTCTAGGCAACGGAAAAAGGATACTGCAGATTGATGACTATTGGGGAGCAGTGCTTATTGAAGAAGATAATGGGAGAGTATTACTGTGGTCATGCAAGTGGACAATTCAAGGATGTCGAGAAACATTACCACACTACGTTCAAGGAAGTCTTGGCCATCAAGAATAGAATAAATAAATTTGACTTCCATCTCAGAAGACATCACTTCGAGGTACAAATGAATAACTCTTCTTTCCCAAAGATCCTAGAGTTTAAGAACAAGATGCATCCTAGTACTCAGATTCTCAGACTAATGGACTAGTTTTCTAAGTATGATTTTACTGTTAAACACATCAAAGGAAACATTAACACAATCTTTGACTTTTTGTCCAAACCCAAGAAGACTATTCAATTGATTTCTGACACCTATAGTCTTCCTCTTATCTTCATGGTCAAACCTCTCTTTAACAAAGTCAAAACTGTCAAAGTTTATCCTTCCGGATTAAACTCAATCACACCAGCAAATATCCTTCACTATGCCAAGTCTCTCTATTTCTACTTTCTCCATGAAACCATGAAATACAAAATCATCTCAATCTCCATCTTTAACCCTGATATTCCTTTTAGGGAAATTTCTAAATTATTATGTGAATGGGGATTGGGATCTCTGTGAACCAACTCTCTGGACTATATGGTGTAACATTGTTCAATACTTCATTCATATTGCATTGAAAACACAGACATCTTATAGAATCCTAACAGACGCTCACAAGGACAAGTTCTACTTATGAACTCTAATTGAGTGGTTCTCACCACTATCTTGGTGGAAACAAGAGCTCAAGAAGATCCTGCACTGTCAAAGACAAAGGGGAGTTACTGAAGATTTTGTCAAAGATCTAACCACGATATTCATCATCCACTGTCCATACTTTCTAAATCCAACATATTAACTATGGTCAAGAAATGAAGTCTACATCTGGAACAGTTTCGAGACTTATCCACTTGATGAAAGTTACAGGGTATAACTGGCACGACACCTCTACGAAGTTAACAACTACCATCACAAGTCAGTGGATCCCAATATTGACAGCTCAGCCCAAAGATCGCTTAGTTCTGAATCGGATCATCCCAACAAACGAAGGATCTCATCAAATAAGGTTCTTCAAAGATCAACATACCCAAAGAAGAATTCCAAAAGATTGAAGACTTAGCGGATGATTACAACGAAGAATTGATGGATGAAATGATGATGCACAAAAAAATGTATCTTTACTGGGACCCACTACATGGAAGCATGACAAGGAGCGAGGCCCAACAGATGGATCATTCTGGTTCCACCAGATCGGACTAAAGTAAAGGCTTTAGTTAATGATTGTCATCATGACATATTACTAAAACAAGATTTTCTTATCTTTACACGTTTCCATTGCAATCTCCGCAAACGTGCTAATAAAGATAAGAGCGAATCAACTATATTTTATCTAAAGGGATATGGTATCTTATCATATATGTAAGATATCTCGTAGCATCTTATCATGTCTTATCTTTTTATAAAGTCATTATGAGTGTGGGCCGCAATCTTATCTTCAGATTTCATTGTGTATGATATTTCGGATACGAAGTTCATTTTAGTTTAGCGTAAGTTTGAATTCTGCTTGTGTGGTTTGCCTATAAATAGGAAGGGTTTGTAATGTTGTAACTGAGAACCAACAAGAATCAATCAAATACAAGTTCTTTCTTAAAATGTTCTCTTTAAGTTTTCTCTTCTCTAAAAATTCGAAGCTTATAATTCTTAATACCATTCACCACTTAGATGCAAGTATATTCTACACTTGCCTCTTATAAGAATCTTGTGTATCAGAAAACTTCTGATCCCTGAAAGCATTTTACTGCAGAGCACTCTTATACGAAATATGAACTTGAGTGGGCTTTTAGCCAAGGGATGACACCGTTATACCCGAGGAGGTTCTTATCGTCTTTGATTAATTACTACTAAGATTGATGTAGAATATTAAAAAAAAAGGATAGAAAAAGAAAAATTAACTTTGTATTTATCAAATTGGTTGAAGATATTAGAAAAACCAAATTGATTGAAAAGATTAAGAAAATATGAAGAAGAAAAGATAATAATGTAATGAATTGATTAGTCTATGAGATTGACAAAGATAAAAAAAAGTAAAAAGTGGACTGAAGAAAAATAAAAGGATAAAATATAGAAAAAAAATTGATTTTATATTAATATTTTAGTATTTAAAGGAGATTACATTACCCATCCCCGAAATTGATTTTATATTACATTATCCATCCCCAAGAATTATTCTAGAGAAATAGAGAAAGGAGATTACATTACCCATCCCCGAAAATTATCCTAGAGAAATAAAGAAATAAATGGTAATTCCAAAATCGAAAAAAAACCACAACTATTATTTAATGATAACCAAAGAATAACACTATATGAAATTTTTTATAAAACATAGACAACTCTCTCATGTTGTACTTTGATCTCAAATACACTCACACTTTCTAAAGTAAGACTCTCGTGTTGTCTTTTGACCCCAAATACACTCACACTCTCTAAAGCAAGACCTCTCATGTTGTCTTTTGACCTCAAATACACTCAATCTCTAAAGTAAGACCTTTCATGTTGTCATTTGAACCCAAATACACTAACACTCTCTAAAGCAATATCATTATCTAATAATAACCAAAGAATAACACTATATGAAAATTTGTACAACACAGACAACTATCTCACGTGTCCTTTGACCCCAAATACACCCACACTCTCTAAAGCAAGAATTTAAACTAAACCTCTTTTTTTACAACACATAGACAAACAACTCTCTCATGTTATCCTTTGACCTCAAATGCACTCACTCTCTAAAGCAAGAATCTAAATTAAACCTCTCAACAAGAGTATAAGAAAAGTCTTTGACTGGGGTGAGAAACATCATGAATTTTAAGTCCATTATATATGAAGGGAAAAATAACAGTACACAACTAAACTTCTAGAGTATGCAGCAGATATAATTTTCCCAAACTTATGAGAATCTGTGAGGAACAAAGATAATAGCAAATGACACTAGCAAACTAATAATCACCTCAAGAAACACAACAATTATTTACATAGGAAAAACCCTCTCAATTTGAGAAGTAAAAACCCACGAGTACAAGCCAATAATGAAGCTCCACTATGATCAAAAGTAGGATATAACAGTGTCTCAATGATTTGCACAAATTCGTGCAACTATCCAGCCAATACAATAAATCAACAAGAGAATAATAAGAAGCTGAAAAACTCACAACTTTGTGCTACTGTTCTAGCACGATTTCTCCCAATATAAACCTCTGAATCAAAATTTGAAAGGTTAAAACCTAGAACCACGTCTCAGGAACTCGATGCCAAAAATTTAGACCAATCCAATGATTAACAAATCGGTGATTGTGGTTTTACCGAAACTGCTTGGGATTCCAGCAAATTGGAGCAGAATCACGGTCAGAGCTCGATTTTTCCACCCACAGAAGACGAAATAAAAAACTAAACGGTGAAAACTGAGATGAGGATGTCGTGAACACACTCGCCAAATTTTATGTAAATCCAACTGTGGAATTAACTGAGATCTGGACTGGAAGTTTGGAGATTCTATGGAGACAAAACTCTCTTTCTCTCTTCTTTTCTCTATCTCTTGGCTCTCTGCCCTGACACTTTCTGACGCTTCTTTTTTGTGTTTTTATGACTGGCCACCCTATGGTCAAATGTTGTGGGCTATTTGTGAAAAAAAATACATAGTTGGGATCTCACATCTCAACAATGTAACTACTATCACTCATTCTATTGTTTATCTAATGTGATGTAGGATTTTTTAATATCTATTATTTTCATCAACCCAACAAATAGTAAGTAACTTTTGTGTTTGTTTTTATTAAATAGAATGGATTTGAAAATGCAAATTTGAAGGATAGAGATCTCGACAAAAATATAAAAGAAAAAAACAACTCATCTAGTATATATTTATGTAAATATCCTGAAAGATAATCAATTATTCAATATTAAAAAATTGATTATAACAGAATTAACAATTTAGTTATCTCAAATCTTTTTTCTATTAAAATATTTTTTTATCATTCACATAAATTAAATCACTCACAAAACTTTCTAAAGCTTTCTTTCTCCTTCTTTCTCAAATCCATCATTTTCTACTTCCTCAAAATTCATAATATAAAAACACTTTACTACACATCATTACGCTCTCCCCTTAAATAAAAATAAAAAAATCTACACATGATATTATCCAAAGCCTAAATTAATCTAATTTTCAATAGAAAATAATAATCTAACTTAATCAATTTTTTTTATTATTTTATTATAAATTTGTTTATTTCAGTGAATTATGTACTAATCTCACTCGTGATTATAATTGATTCGTAATACTCGAGTTATAAATCAGGTATATTGCCTTCCAAGTATGGTCTTCCATGATCATTAATTACTTCGGAAACTTAGCACCTTTTATAAGATTTGCAATGACTATATTAAAAGACACACATTGTGAAAACATAAAAGTTTCGAACTTTCCTGGGTCATAAAATGTTACATAATTTGAGATTATCATGTGTGTAATTTCTATTTTTTATATACACTCTCTCCCTTGTTTTTCTTTAGAAATTTTATTATCATAAATGTTACTTCACTATATTTTTTATTAAACATTAATTCATTTAGAGATAACAATATATTTGATCATTATACAAATTAAGTTAAAACTATTTACTCTAAATTATTTGTTTAAAATTATTTAAATTAGTTTCTATTATTGATAAAAACTTACAAAATAAATAGAGGCTGTATTTTTAATGGTTAAGGGTCATGCAAATTTATTTATTTCTTCACGATAATTGTTTAATCTTTGATTGAGATGTAATGAAAAAAAATATATTGTTACTTTATTTAAGGCATTAAATTTTTGTCAATAAAATTGAGCACATCAATCTTTTGTCTAAGTTCACCTTAAAGAAAAATAATATTTGTATCACCATTAACAATAACCTTATAGATAGTGAGATTGACAAGAAATATTTCTTCACATTATTAACATTGTTCAAGAATTTGTTTTCCATGTACTTTGAAAACACATATTTCATCTTGATGCGGTATATCCATAATTTCTTGGAGTAATCATTGTCACTACTGATACAAAATATTTTGACCTCCTAAGGATAATATTGACGATTTTAATATATTATAATAAACCAAATTCAATATGTATTTACTTTTATATAATTTGATGAAAGACTTCTAAATCTCCTTCGTTGTACCTTTCTTCATAAATTTGTTATAGTATTATTGTTAATTTTTTCTCACATTCGATACTCACGGTGTTTCTCCAATTAATTTTACATAAGTATCTTTTCTCAAAATTATTTTCATTTTCAGTTTCTACGATCAGAATACTTTCCATAACATGGACTTCTCATCTCATATTTTTACACTTCATGGCCTCGAATGGAGGTTTGGTCATATATGCATAGCCAGTTGAATACTTGGGAGTTTGGGGGTTTCATTTTTTATCATACGTGAGTGAGAAGGCCAGGCACGGAGGCATTTTTGGGTGGAGTGCTAGTTTCTCTGCAGTTCCCCCTGGTCAATAGGCTGATCATGCAGAGCATGATCAATCGAGAGAAAGTAAGACCAACTTATGGATTTAAGCACTTGTCTAGTACATCGTCTTAGGAGGTTAGCCTTCATAGGACACCAAGTATAATTTGTTGTCAATTTACACATGTAGTTGAGTTACTTTAATTTACAAAGAACGAAAAAAACTAATTACATGATATTATATATATATATATATATATATATATATATATATATATATTTTTTTTTTTTTTTTTTTTATGGAGACAATTTCATGATTCATAAAATAATATTTCTTTAAAAAATATAAGGTTTATATGTTTATTTTATTTATATTTATGGTTCGAAATCAAATATTAAAACTCCCACTTTTAATAAGATATGGAGAAAATCAACAATATATAAGAAAAATCTAACATTTATTTTTGGTATAAAATGTTCTTAAACAAACACAATGTATTCATTTACATTAAAATCTACCTTTTATCCATTCATATCAACAGTTTTAGGACTCTTTTAGAATTCAAAATTATATCGACACAATGTATCATCAGTATAAAGTATTAATACCATGATCAATTTATCTTTTTTCATTCCTGTGTCTCAAGCAATTAACTTGGCAGTTTTAAATGAACATTCGTGATTTCCAGATATCAACAATGAAGATTCAGTAGACCAGAATTAAATATTCTCAAAATTTGCACTAAGAATAGGAATGTATCTATATTCTGTCACATTTGTCGACTAAAATAGTACATGAATGATTTGATGTTTGATCATTTGGAACATTATGTACTAGTTGGTCTCTCTCCTTTGGCACCGGATTCATATTCACATTACATTTAACAAACTTCCCTATTGTTCTCGGTTGTTGCACCACCAACACCGACGCCTTGGTTACAAAATCTGGTGAAGCTAGCATGTCCCCAATGACCCCTAGCTCTTGACATTCACTCCAATTATCATGTCCTTCAAACAATACACTATCAGGATGTTGCCTCCCCACCATCACAAGATCAAAATAATCTACCAATCTTCTTATACATGTAGTAAGATCTATCCCATCTTTCACAACTTCATCCAAAATCTCAAACCTACGATTTCCAGCATTGTGGTGTCTATATTCATCTATAAGATCACTGTCATGTTTTCTATCCTTGGAGTTTTCCTCACCAAATAGAAGGAACCGAACCACAGTTACATACACACACTCATGCCTAACCATTCTAGTGCAATACGCTAGTGTCTCCTCGTCATCTGCACCACCAGTGAAGAACACACCAATATAGTATGCTGCTTTAGCCATCAAGAGTGAAGGAGAAGCACTAAGGATGCCCCTATCAACCAGAATTCCCACAGAACATGGTGCCCTTTCAAGGACATTAATGTTCATGGTTTGGATGGACCTATGTGCAACGTCAACGGTGCCATCAATTTCCCACCTCTTATGGAACGGCAAGATCAAAATGTTGGCTCCATGTTCTAGCGAAATTCTACAAACATCATCATGCATCGTTTCAAATGTGGAGATTGAAGTGAAAGATTGAACGGAGACATATCCTTCATTTTGTTGTGCATATTGCCTCAAGGCATTGTCAATGTGATTTGAGTTGCATGAGACTGGATCTAAGCTACTATGGGCTTGGTTAGCAACAAGAATAGGTCTGGCTCTTCCTTGAAGCTCAACTAGGAATAATGTTGTAACTGCAACCCTGCTCTCTTTACTAGCATAGGATGCTTCTAATAGGTTGAGGATTGTAGGGAGATTTTCATTGTCGTGAATGCACACCATGACCCGGAGCTCCGAATCTCGCCTACTATATTGAATTGAGCTTCTCCTTCCTCGACTCCGATATTGCTCTGAAGGGTCATATATAAATTTTATGAGTGGAACTAAGGTAACATTTACTACTAAAACGGTGACCACCATCAAAGAGAACTCGTTTTCCGTTAGTATCTGTCATACACAAGAGAAAAATGATAGTTAATTAATTAATAAACTAAGGCTAAACCTTTTTGTATGCCCTCAAGGTTAGTTTTTAATTGAATTCACTAATGATGCACATCCATACATACCTCGCCTCCCAACCACAATTTGTACAAGATAAGCTCACATATACCCCTTCCATTTAGAAGGAGACCAATGACCCAACATTCTTTCATGGGTAGATTGTAATAGTATCCTGGTAACATGACAGCACCAATCTTTACAAAGAAACCCACGACCACAACGAGACAGATAAGCCACAAAGTATTGAAGTCAATTTGGAATATATCAACATGTAATCCGGTAACAGCTAGGAAGATTGGATTAAGCAAAGCCGCACAAATTGTCTCCAGTTTTGTCATCAAAGATGTTCCTATGGGTGGTCCTTCTGGAAGAGACAGGCCTAAAATTATTGGTCCCATAGGAGAATGTTGCCCAATTACTTCACTGACTAATCCAGAAAGGAGAACGAAAACAAAGATGCAGACAATGCAAAGTTCATTAGTCGAACCGCTACCTAGGTGCTTTACCAACCAAAGTATAAATGGCCTCACCACAAATACGAGAAGAAGAGCGAATGCAATTATGGACAGAGCAATGAATATTAGAGTCAGAATGTCACCATTCTTATTCTCTAGTATTGCAACCGCAATCACTGTCAAAGCAAAGGTAGGCATATTACTAAGAATTGCTACTGACATAGCCAATCGTCCCATATCAGTGTTAAGGACTTTGATATCTGTCAAGAGCACTGCTATGCTAATGAATATAGTAAAGCTTTGTGAGAAACCTATCATCGGAAGTGCTTTTGCAACACTTTTTTTCATTGCAACATGTTGCTTCAACAGCACGGACAGTCCAGTTGGGATAACCAACGTAAATAAGCAAACAGATATAGCAAGAGCTAGGGGTAGCTTTTCTGTCTTCAACAATGTGTAGAGGTCTAATTTGACACACCACAAGAAGCAGTAGAACATGAGCCCCAACGCTGAAACTGTTTCCAGCACCATGGCACCCTTCACCGGGAATAAGGTTCGCCCCAAAATCTTGTTGCGCCCCAAAGCTGACGGGCCAAACAACATTCCCCCCTGTTACCATGCATCATTTGTTAGCACTACTTACTGTAGCGAGTAATCAGTTTTTTATTTACAAAAATCACTATCTTTCATTAATGGTGATGTGAGAGATACTATCAATTTTTAAATTGAAATTTTTAATTGGGTCAAGTGGAAGGAAATTGTCGAAGACCATACCATGTGATCGTCTATACTATGTAATATTCTTTCTTCTAGTATAATTTTTTATACACTAACATTTAATAAAAATTATAAAATCAAGGAAATTTATTATATAAGATATAAACCTACAAGATTTAATAATGTTTATCGATAGTTTTAGCCAAAAACAGAGAGAATATCTTCCCAACAAAGAGTATATCGAAAGAAAAAGTTAACAAACAAATTTTGTTATATAAGAATGTATACAATGGCCTATTACTTCAACAAAGTTCCCTAACTAGTTGTAATGGAAAAATCATACATTTGCTTAATTTTGTTGGAATTTAGACAAACAAAATTGTTCCAAGTTTCCCAAGGTTTCGATTGTTTTTTTTTTTTTTTTGCTTCTCAGTTTTACATTTAGAACTGCATTATCGTAGAGCATTCTAGTGACCATGGTTGAAAATGGCAGCGAAATTTATGAGTGTAGAGAAAACTTACAAGAATCTGGGATACAAGAGAGGATTGTCCTAATGGCTTAAGACATAAATCCATTAACTGTGTGCCTATGGTAACCAAAGAGACCTGCATAAAGAAAAGACAAGTAGGGGATTCTAATGGGTTTCCCAAGTTCCAGATATCCAAGTGACCATGACTATTAGGATCTTGGCATACCAATGTCTTGTTAGCCTCAGGTACCGCAGCCATATAATATGTGCGTGTGCATGAATGAATATGAAGGGGAAATTTTAGTAAACTTAGTTGTTCTGGTGTTTATTGTTAAAAGTATTTTTCCTTGAGAAACATCAAGAATATGGATGGGAAGATAGTTAGGATAACAATGCTCACAACCCATGAAGAAGTATACTCGACATAATAAGAGGTTGGCCTTGTGTTTTGCATTTCACATAGTTAACGGTTTGCCTTCAATTAAGGTGCTTATGTTGTCGTTTTGCAACCTCGACGAATATATATCTATATTTATACAACTTGGTTTGGAGGATTCGGAGAATACAAATCAAAGTAACTATAGAACTTATACCAAGTTCACGTAAGTAAGAAGATGGAAATTGATGCATCGTGATTACTACGCGATAAGAAAATTAAGGGACCTGTAAATAACCTTGTTTGCAGCAAGACCGTAGTCATGTCTTGGACGACAATCCATTTGTTTCAAATCCAACATTTCTATATAACAAACCAATTTGTTTGGGTTAAATTGAATCTCAATTATTTCATCTTCAATTGTCTAATTCAATAGACATTCGTGTTAATAGATGAGTTCCACAAGCATCGTAATTATCCTCAAAACAACATATGAATATATGTGATATTTCGTTAATTCTCTTTTCTCCAAGGGAGGCCAGCTTGTCTTCTGTACCATCTAATTTAGTTATTAATTCAATTTTACATAATAAATTATAGAATTTTTCTTTAACAATGAATTAATATTTTATTTTATTTTATTTTATCTTATCGAAAATGCAATAGTTTTACATTATTTTATTTGTTTTTCCTACAAATTATAAATGACATTTATTCTCAGCCAATTTCTTATTCATGCGTTTATTTCTTGTTTATGTACTCAATTAAACATAAAAATCAGGCATTAAGATGATCTGGAAACTGATAAATATTTTGAACCTAAAGATGTATTTGGATAAAATGAGAGGTATCAAGTGTATTTTAGAGATCATTTCAACCAAGATATAATTCTCTAGTAAAATGTTGAAGAACATGTCAATTAGCCTTACTAATTTTTCCACATTTCCAACACCACCCAACTGCCTTTACTTGTTTTATGGTTAGGACAAGACTCTCCATAGATCCACATCTAAAAGTCATAATATGAGCTATTTTTTGTATCTAAGTTCATTTATTACATGGCGATTAAGATAATTATAGAGAGAGGTCTTCTTATGGATTTAATCACTTGTTTAAGGAATCATAATACATTATTTTAATAAAATTTAAAAGAAAATATTTTTTACCATGATGTTGGATTCAGACCCAAGTTCAGATTATTTTGTAAATGATGACAATGTATAGTCTTAGTATTAGAATTGTGGGGAAATTTACTATGTCATTGCTTTGTCAAAGTAAATGACTTGGTTGTTTTAAATGAACATTCCTGATTTTCATAGCATATCTACAATCAAAATACAGAAGAGAGGAATACAGGGATCACAAAATTTGCACCAAGGATAGGAAGTATCTACATTTTGTCATATTTGTCCACTGAAATAGTACACGAAGGAGGAAATGTTTCAACAATTGGAACTTCATGCATTAGTTGTTCTCTCTCTCTTGGGACTGCATTCACATTTACAGTGGATTTAATAAACCTTCCTCTTATTCTCTGCTGTTGTATCACCAACACCGATGCCTTAGTAACGAAATCTGGTGATGCTAGCATGTCCCCAATGACCCCTAGCTCGTGACATTCACTCCATTTATCATGTCCTCGCAACATAACACTATCTGGATGTTCCCTCCCCACCATCACAAGATCAAAATAATCTACCAATCTTCTTACGCATGTAGACATCTCTATCCCGTCTTTCACAACTTCATCCAAAATCTCAAACCTACGATTTCCAGCATTGTGGTATCTATATTCATCTATAAGATCACTGTCCCGTTTTCTATCCTTGGAATTTTCCTCACCAAATAGAAGGAACCGAACCACAGTTACATACACACACTCATGCCTAGCCATTCTATTGCCATAGGCTAATGTCTCTGCGTCATCTGCACCACCAATAAAGAATACAACAACATAATACATTCCTCTAGCCATCAAGAGTGAAGGAGAATCATTCAGGATACCTCTGTCAACTAGAATTCCCACAGAACACGGTGCCCTCTCCAGGACTCTAATGTTCATGTTCTGGATGGACTTATGTTCGGCCCCAATGGTGCCATCAATTTCCCACCTCTTATGGAACGGCAAGATCAAAATGTTGGCTCCACATTCTAGTGAAATTCTACAAACATCATCATGCATCGTTTCAAATGTGGAGATTGAAGTGAAAGACTGAATGGAGACATATCCTTCATTTTGTTCCGCATACTGCCTCAAGGCATTGTCAATGTGAATTGAGTTGCCTGAGAGTGGATGTATATTATCACTGGATTTGTTATTAACAAGAACTGGTCTGAGTCTTCCTTGAAGCTCAATTAGGATTAATGATGTCACTTCAATCATGCTCTCTCTACTAGCACAGGATGCTTCTAAGAGGTTCAGGATTGTAGGGAGGTTTTCAGAACTGTCAATGCACACCATGACTCGAAGCTCCGAATCTCGCCTAGTATGTTGGATTGTGCATCTCCTTCCTGTCTGATATTGTTTTGAAGGATCATACATGAATTTTATAAGTGGTACTGAGAAAATATTTTCTACAATAATGGTGACCACCAATAAAGAGAACTCGCGCTCCGTTACTTGCTGCCATACACAAAAGGAAAAGAAAAGTATTATGTAGTTAATTAATTAATTAATTAACTAAGGCTAAACAAATTGACTTAATTGACATAGTTTGAAAACAAGTCCAAAGAAAGTATTACCACCAATCAATATGTACTTGCATTGAATGCTTCGAATATATACATACCCGGCTTCCCAACCACAAATTGTACAAGACAAGCTCACATGTGCCCCTTCCGTTTAGAAGGAGACCAATGACACAACATTCTTTCATGGGTAGATTGTAATAGTATCCTGGTAGCATGACAGCACCAATCTTTACAAAGAAAGCCACGATGAGAACGAGACAGATAAGCCACATAGAATGAAAGTCGATTTTGGAGATATCAGCTTGTAATCCGTTAACAGCTAGGAAGATTGGATTAAGAAAAGCCATGCAAATTGTCTCCAATTTTGTCATCAAAGATGTTCCTATTGGTGGTCCTTCTGGAAGACACAGGCCTAAAATTATTGGTCCCATAGCAAAATGTTGCCCAATTACTTCACTGACAAATCCAGTAAAGAGAACGAAGACAAAGATGTGAACAACGCAAATTTCATTAAGCGAACCTCTACCGGAGTGCTCTACCATCCAAAGTATCATTGGCCTTATCATAAATACAATAACAACCACGAGTGAAACTATAGATAGACAAACGATTACGAGTTTCACCATGTCACCATCCACATTCTGCGAAATTATAAACATAATTATTATAACAACAAAGCTCGCCATATTAGTAAGCACTGATGCTCCCATGGTTATTCGTCCTATATCAGTGTTAAGGACTTTGAGATCTGATAATAGAATTGCTATGGTAACGAATACAGTAAAGGATTGTGAGAGACCTATCAACGGAAGTGCAGTTGCAACACTCTGTTTCATTTCAACATGTTTCGCTAATAGGTAGGCGACTCCAGTAGGGATAACCAATGTACATACAAACACAGATGATCCAAGAGCTATGGCTAGCTTTTCTGTCTTGAAGAATGTGGAAATATCCATTTTAACACTCCATAAGAAGTAGGAAAACATGACGCCAAACCATGAAATTGTTTCAAGCACTACAGCACCCCTCACGGGAAATAAGGCTTGCCCCAGAATCTTTTTGTGCCCCAAAACTGACGGCCCAAACATCAGTCCCCCCTGTCACCATGCATTATGTGTCAGCACTAATAATCACTGTACCATGTAATACCCACTTTTTCTCATCAATGGTGGTATAAGAGATATATATTAAAAGAGAAAGTTACCAGCAAATTTTATTATTCAAGAATGTAGACAATTGCCTATTACTTCAATGAAGTTCCTTACCCAGTTGCTTGTTAGTTTCATATTTAGAATTACATTGTGATAGAGCATTATAGAGACCATGATTGAAAATAGTAGTGAAATTTAAGAGCTTAGAGAAAGCTTACAAGCATCTGGGATACAAGAGTGGATTGTCCTAATGGCGTAAGACATCTGACCATTAACTGAGAGACTATGGTCATCAAAGAGACCTGCAAAAAGAAAAGACAAGTGGGGGAGTCTAAAGGGTTTCCTGATCGCCAGATATCCATGTGACCAAAACTGTGGGGATCTTGGCATACCAATGACTTGTTTCCAGTAAAAGATACGGAAGCCATAATATCAAGGGGAAGATTTAATAAAACTTAGTTGCTCTTGTGTTTATTGTTCAAAGCACTTTTCCTTGAGAAAAATCAAGAATATGGATGAGGGAAGAATAAGGATAACAATGTTGACAACCTACGAAGAAGTATATATTTGTGAGAATAAGAGGTTGCCCTTGTATTTTGCATTCACAGATTTCACGGTTTGCCTTCAAATAACGTGGTTATAGCAGCCGTTTATTTTGCAATGTCAAAGAATATATATCTATATTTATACATCTTGGTTTGGAGGATACAAATCCAGATTTTACCAAATTCACATGAAGAAGATGGAAATTATGCATCACGATTATTGGTTAATAAGAAGATGGCTTGAGCTAGATTATCTGATAAGAAAATTAAGGGACGTGAAATTGTAAACCTATTTGCAGCAATAACATTTCTATATAACTATCAGATACTGTCACCTTAAAATATCAATTTTCGTGTTCATGGTGATGCTCATTTTCACCTTTTGCTTCTTTTATTTTTATCCTCGTTTGTATATATAAACCAAATACACCATTAAATAAAGTTTAATAATTTTAAACTATTTTTAAATAGCTATTATTCCCCGGATAAACCCTGTTAATGCTTAGATTAGTATGACTAAAAATTCAGGATAAATCAAATCTATGAAATATTATGTAACTGACTTTCTCGCCAATTCAAACAACTTTAAAATATTGAGACACAAATACATGAGAGAACAATAACAATTTAATGCACACACTTTCTTTCTCCTCTTCTAATTTTCATATTTTGTGCATCTTGTGATTTACCCCATTCATTATTATTAAAAGGAAAAATATTTCGTACGTATACATGGCCAAAAAATGAAAATTAAATCTAAAATCTTCATATATACTACTCAATCTTCTACTAAGCTTTTATCCTATATTAAAAATTATATTTTGATTATAATAGAAATTTTACCTAAAAATAAACATCAGTCTATGGAAGTGAAACTTCAAAACACAAAGGGAATCGCACTATCAGCCGGTCTCACATCGAATGGCTCCTCCTACCCCTCTTTTTAAATTAATAAAGGAAAAAATATTTATCAAGTGTTGCAACTGAAATTCAATAACTAGTTCATTTATTGGTTTGAACATCTTCCCAGGCAATTGCATTCTTGCCAATCTTTTGAAGGACTCTGATGACTTGCTGTGTTGTGACCTTGCCAGTAACGATGACCTTGTTCATTGCCGTGTCCACGTTATAGGTTTCAATATCTGCAAGCAAGGCCTCAAGTTTTATACTAAGCAAAAAAGTTGCAAACCAAAAAGTCATTTCTTATAATATTAGTGCTGGGAAAATCAAGAACCTTCAATTTTCTTGATGGCTTTGAGGATTTTCTTGATACAATCGTCACAGTGCAAACCAACTTTCACCTCCACAACCTGATGACATGCAACAAGAAAAGCTTTCTCAGTTGCAATTTGCCAAAAAAAAATGAAATTACTAAAGGTCTTACATTTGCCATGACAGAGCAGAAGAAGAGGAATAAGCAAAACTCTGAGTCTAAGCCGTGGGGAGAGATGAGAAGTGGAAGAGAAAGCGTAAAATTAAAGAACAAAAGAGAAGTGGGGTTGTAGTGATTTTTGGAACTGCGTGAAATAATGGAGCAAACACAAGAAGGAAATGGATTCTTAACGTGAACTACGGAAGCTTTTACTTTCTGTGAGAAAGATTTGAATTTGAAGCAAAAGGGTAAACTTTATTCTTATTTTAAGATTTGGAAGTGTCTGGATTCCAGTTATTAGTATGTTCGGTCGGCAAGCATCATAATTATACCCAAACAACATATATTATGACTATGAGCAAAACAAACAGATAAAATAATGAAGATATCCTTGTCTTAATGTCTATCTTAAATAATCTATTCAATATGAATCAAAACTTTGTAACTGGATAAATATTTCAGTAGCTTGTCTTCTATACTATCTCACTTAGTTAATTCAATTTCTCATCATGGATTACAGATTTTTTTTTCTCTAGTGCGATCTTTTTACAATAATTTATTTGTTTTTCCTACTAGTTTATAAATAAAATTTACCTTGAAAACTTTTTAAACATATTTAATTTATTCTGGGTCAATTTCTTTTTCATATATGTTTGTTTCTTATTTATGTATTCAATTAAAAAAACGTTTACACATGAAAAACTGATAAATATTTTGAACCTAGAGATGTATTTGGATAAAACGATAGTTATCAAGTGTATGTATTTTACAAATCATTTCAACCAAGATATAACTTAATTAATTGCCTAAATTATTTTCGTGATGTCAAATGTCAAGTTTTCTTCGTTTTATCAGATATATTGGAGTAACAGACACCCATTAACAAAAATTATAATATGGATTATTCTCCGACATCATTAGCACATTCATGATATTACTAATTATCTAATGAAGTGTTTAATAACATGTTAGTTTACATTACTAGATAAGTCTAACCTATTTTTCCAGATTTTCAACACCACCCAAATGCACATCTTACCAGTAAGAATGATATTTCTATTCAAGATTGACTTTCTCAACATTCATGTTCACGTTCACGTAAACAACCATTATGTATAGAATGCAAGCTTTACAAGACGCAAATATACACTCCAATATCATTCCAGTTCCAGTTTGTGCTAGCAATGCTGCAATTAATTCAATATTGTAAGTCTTACTTAACAGGTCACACTTGACCCTATTAATTGCCTGTGCGTTACCTCCTTTGAAGACTTGTCACACTCACAATATTGAATACACCCAAATATCTATTGCTCCCATACTTATTATCAGGCACCTTATCATACTCATTGCAACAACACCCAGATTCAGTACGTGCTAGTAGGTAAATAGTTTAATTAAGTATTTAACAGTTAGTGCTTATCAGTAAGAACTTCTTATGCCATAAGATAAGTCTAAAATATGTAAATAATGTTTTCTAAATGCACCCGAAGTATGAATTGATTTGACACAACACCCAAAACAGATGTCTGACCTTTTAAGACTCCATACTAATGGCAACACATGATTACTGATAATATTGCTAGATAGTGCATTTTAGCATATCATTATTTTTGGGAAATAATTGCTTTATCGTGTATATATAACTCTTTGGAAGCTGGTAAAAAAGTGTTTCATCAGAATGAACTGAATCAAACCCACATTTACTTTCAGGCAACTTATCAAGAGTTTCAGGCAGCTTAATTTCAGAAAATAACATTTGTAACTATGATCTCACCTAGGCGTAATAAATAAGCCTTACATATGTTTTAGGTTATTACATTGTAATACCTTCCTGAAAATGAACAACACACACCGTTGTAGAACAATTGTCAGTAAACAAAATTTGACTTATACTTCAGATGTTACAACAAATAACCAGTAGTATCAGTGACAACACTACACAATTTAAAGAAATTGAAACCCTTTAACAGGAATAAAAGAAAAAAGTTTTACTTGCAAATTAAGGAGAGGATTTATCATTGTTTGTTCTCCAGATCACATGAATCTGAATCACTTGCTCTGTAACCTGAAGTCAACAACATGGAGATCGATCAGGATACATACAACCAAAATTCATCAATCCTACAAACAGTAGAGCTTACCTGGCCGTTTATCGCACACTTTCCAAACTGAATTTCGATTTCTTGACGCTTTACTAATCCAAACATGTCCCTGTAAAGAAAGCTCATTACAATATAGTCAGTAACATGAAGCTGAGGAGCAGTAAATAGTATAGCAATTACTCAATCCAAATCACGTAGGTCTTATTGCCATTGAGCTATATCCAAGAGATGTTTGAATCAACTTCTTTGGTGGAAGAAAAAATGTAAAAATAAAAAAGGAATAGGTTTCTTTTCATAAATCGACATTTTTCTTACTACTTTCTTACCATTAAGAGCTTATAAGAAAACTTATCCAAACAAACATAAGGAAAAACAGCATCACATCAAAAATTCAACACAGCCAAAATTGAATTCTCGCATATTTTTTCAAAATAAATAAAAGCAGTCTGATTTTAAAATACAATAAAAGGGATTTCAAGTAAAAAGACCCAGTACAAAAATTTCCAACTTCCCTACACACATCTCCATTCTGTTTCCAAGGAGACAACAAAAATCACAAAACTTTGGCACCAATATTTGATCATTTCCTTTACATGATGAGTGTGTGCAATCAATTAATATAATGAACACAGAATGACATAGAATGATAGAAAATAGAATAAGAAAGAAAATACCTTTTTGGGATCCCTTGGAACACCATAGCCAGAGTTATACATTTGACCAACCAAAACCTGCATGGCAGTGTCCCCAGCTTTGGCCTCCTTGAGGGTGTCCTGGAACCACCGCTTGGCGCAGTCGGCGACAACCTTCGCGAGGGGTGTCCGACATTCTTCCAAAGGTTCCATCTTTTTCCCAGGTTCGACCTTAACACCAATTGGGGTCGCGCTTCGAGGTGTGGCCACACGGTTGGGCGATCTGGGTAGTGTTCCCTTCAGCCTGATATTGGGCTTGGCAGATGACACAATACGCGATAGCTCCTCCAGCCTCGCCGCAGATTCAAGATATTTTCCCATCAAACCAAATCTCACACAACAACAAAAAAGCTGTTGCTTTTAAAGTCAGATATTTCAGGGGTTTTTTTTATTTTATTTTTTATGCGGAGGTTGTTGTTGAAGAAGACAAAGACCTGGTAGCTTATATATCTATCTATCCGCACTATGTAAGAGTGCAACTTGAAGTGGATAGAAGAAAGTGTGTGTATGTTCGCCGTTGACGGTGAAAAGAGATGATGAAATTATACAACAAGGGTTAGGATCAATTTTTGTTATGATAAACGGTTGTCCAAGACAAAATTTGATAATCTACCCCTATCAGTCTATTGTGACAGGTAAGAAATATATGCAGTGGGACTGTAATTACATCTTTGTCTAATAATAAAGTGTTGTGCAATAATTTATTTATTTATTTATTTTAATAAAAACATGTATATAAACAAGAAATAAATAAATAAAATGTAAATGATACAATTGAAATAATCTAAAAATTTGTATGCAATAATTTTGATAAAATATTTGAATATAATTTGTGTAAATTCTCTTTTTTTATATTACAAGCCGATAAAATTTCACATTTTATGATCATGAAATATATACAAAGGTTTTAATTTAATTCTAAAATTAAAATATTTTTAAAATGATTTTTATTTTTAAAAAATTTCTTTATTTTAAATATCATTATAATGTAATTTGTATATTTATATTTTAATGATAGCATTCACCATACTTTCTTCTTTCTTTCTTTTTTTTTCATTTGCTGCTAATGGTCATCAGTTGGGCTGATCAGGAATGGCCCTTTTTTTGCTACCAATCCCTGTTCAAGTAAGGCCCAAAGGTTTGAGAATCCTGGCCCGTTCTTAAAGTCCCACCATATTTAAATATGCCGGTTTGATAGTCGGTCTAAAAACGGTTTCCTGATTTTAAATATTCAGATTTTAACAATATTTATAATAGGAGTTTATTTAATAATAAAAATAAATATTTTTTTATTATTATTATATTTAATTTGGTTAAAATAAAAATAATATTTAAAATAAAAAAACTTATTTATATAAACAATTTTATAAATTTTTAAATAATTTGATATTTATAATAAAATATTCAAATAAAATTTATTCTAAAAATATTTTAATGAAATTGGTATAAAATCAAAAAATTGAATAATTAATTTTATTTTTTAATAAAACAATATTTAAATATCAAAATTTTTGTAATTTTTTAAACATGTTTTTTTATTTTACATTAATCTTATATCTTTAAACAATAATTATTTTATTGTATTATTATAATTTATAATAATTAAATATTTTTAAAAAAATATTATTAATAAATATATTATATTATAAAAATATTATTTTATTAAATTTAAATTGAGAGGTTAAACCTTTAAATTTAAATTCATATCTTATTTTGAAAACATATATTTTGTTGAATTAAGATAAAAGAAGACCAAATTACCCAAATATCCTTCACCAACCATTTTAATGTTAATGTCATTATATTTGTTAACCCTTTCCATGTGATTTAATCGCTTTATATATTTCATACTTAATAATTGTTTTATTTATTTTATACTTAATAAGATAACAGACTTCTAACATTATCATACAAATCAATAAAAATAACTAACTATATAGTTAAAATTTTTTTAATATTATCAATGTATCAAATTAAATTTTAATATTTTTACTGTTCACCAATACAAAATATTCCATACAAATAAATAAGATAGATAAATGAATACTTATATAAAAATGATAAAATATTAAAAAATAATTTATATTTAAAAAAGTGTTTTTTTAATAAAGATCCAAAGAAATAGTATATGTCATTTCCAGTTCAAGTTATGTTCCCAAGACAAATTAAAATAAAGTTGGTGGACAAATTTAATTATTTCAAGTTTTGTTAAATTTAATACGTGGGTCAAATATATGGACCAACAAACTAGCCTACGTCATCATCATCTTCTTTGGTTTAAAATGAGACTAAAAGAAAATTTAAAATAATTTTTTTTTTTTTCAAAATCTTAGGCCGACCATAAAATTTGGCAAATACATTTATTTGACCAAAAGTTTGAGCAGTGAGGGACTAATGGAGAATATTCTCATGTTCAATTTGGAAATGATCTAAGAATATTCTTATAAACCAGCACGTTTTTATATTCTATTTCAGCTCTCACACACCAATAAGCATAAATCATATACTTGTGATTCCAACTCCCTCGTTCTCACCTCACCACTACACTTGCTATTCCTGTCTAACTAACCAAAGGGTAGCCATGGAATAAGATTCTGATCTTATGCCATTTCAGAATCGTTTCTGTTCTCAACTTAACCAACTTAGAAACTATGGGAATATGACTATGACATTCCTTGTATCAGATTTATTCTATGTTTTTTTATATTTGAATATGTAGTAAGTTTCCTCATCCCTTGAAAGAATTCCCATGAATGCAAATTTACTTCCACGATTCAATATTTAAATTCATTTTGAATGTGTCGTTTTTTTCTCTCTAAAATTTCCATTTTTAATATAAATAACAAAACACAGAAATATTATATGTAAAATTATGATAAGGACTCAACAGAGGCTTAAATATTTATGATCAGTGGTGGTATATGATAATGCGATAGGAATAGACTGGTCTTATCTTATCCCATAAGCTAAAGAAAAGTAAAGGTGGATGGAAAATGTGGACTGTGATGTGGAAGATGGGAAAAAAAAAAAACAAAGGAAATGACTTGCCATAACCCACAACAATACAATACAACTTATCCTAACACGTCAAATACCAAAATTCCCCTTAGTTTATATGTAAATTACATATTTCACAATTTAGTGTTATTTAACGTAAATACCAAATAACTTCAATCTGAGTCGTGCCTAGTTAACCAACGGCGTCATCATCATCATTCGGATTTGATAAGACTTTTCATGTTCGTTAGTGGAATCCAATGATGAAATATTCCTTAGAGTGTGCAATTGCCCAAACTTGGGCCAAAGCACCGCTCACTTGGGGAAATGGGAGAAAATAGCTTAAATATGCTTTTATGTGAATACTTACAATAATAACCCTATTTCAGGGAAACTCCTATAAAAAGAGAATTTTTAGTTTTTTGGTGGAACCTATTAAAAGAATTTCATATATGTGTTTATGCGATGCGATACTCTCAAAGATGCCAATTTAATGGATTTATTCTGTTCAGTGGTTGAAAACAATTACTGGAAAAAATAGATGGGGTTTGAAAAAAGTGATGGGAAAAGCAGAATGGCATATTGAAAACGAAGGTGGTGACGTATTTGCGTCACTTTTAAATCTACATCTCCACTCATCGTTATGACTTCTCTCTCCTCTCTGTCAAATAGTCAACACAAACACGAATTAGATATTGTATCAAGTAAAAATTCTATTTCAAGTTCTTCATATTTTTATTAACAATTTTTTTTAATTTAAATGACGACATGTGAATACTTTTTATGATAAATTACTTTTATGAAATATATTTTTTTAACAATTAAAAAATATATACATATCCCCGTGCAACAGAAAATTTTAATAGATTTAAGATACTTAATTTAAATTTAGTTAATGTAATAATTAATTGCTTAGTGTTAGGTCAGAATGAACGACCTTGTAATTAGGTGATTAGACACATTTGAAGAGTATAAACCTGCTTTCTTTTTTTCTCATCCGAACATTAAAATCACAACCACCAAATGCATGGATGAAACAGTGAGATTGTTCTAATATAACCAAAGGTCATTTTGAGTTATTAGGTTTGGTAATGTGATTGTGTTAATGTCATAGTCCAGAGTAAAACACAAACCGGTTCTAGTAGATATCTCATTGTCTTTGATCCCAGGTGCTGATACACCCATAGCAATCATTTAACAATCAATATTTATTAGCTGTTGAATTTGGTTCGTTGATTATTTGTTCAAAGGAACAAATGGGTCTTCAACTCTTTATCTTGTTATCTCTGTCCTAGTCAGTGTGTGCTGTGGACTCCACCAAACACCATGAACAGAGAAAAAAAAAACTATATTTTTTTAATGAGGTTTTAGATCCATTTGATTGTGTCTTTCCTTATCAACTCAATTCCAATGAATAAATGGTGTCTTGGATTGGCCAAAGTCATCCATAGGAGACGGTGAAATGTCTGTGCCATCTTGTTTTGATCACTGCAAATTCATCAATGACCAAACCAGTGCCGGGTTCATGGATTCATGTCTGCATTAAAGAACATGGTAAATTGTTCTGTTGCACAGAAAAAGTTGTAGCCTTTCTTTCTTTCTTTTTTATCTTTCTTGAATTACATTAAAAATGTCTGATTTTTTTATATTGTTGTTTTATCTAGTATAAAACAAAATTTGACTGCATTGTGCTAAACGCGCGTGCACAGTGATCTCGATATTGAAGGAATAAACCTGAACAAGTGGTTTATTTTATTTGGCAAGCACACAAATAAAACAATAGATTAAGGTACTCTTAGTTGGGAGTTCAAGATCATGCATCCACCTAGATCAGTAGAATTTTAAAAGGGACATGCACATGCATGCGCGTTTTCAATTTTGTATAGTTGGTTCTTAAGATGTAAAATAATATAGAAAACCCGAAAAGGAAGCAGCATAATGAGAGGAAACAAAAAACATATGAATGGTCTTATGTTATGTGGCTGGATGTGTGTTAGCACTTCAACACAGAGATTCCCTTTTGTTCAGAACATGTTTGTAAAACATGTAACAACAGTACACGATATCTTCATCTCACAAGTGAAATGGGTCCTCTGAGAAATAAATAAATGGTGGAGCCTCATTCTGCAGCGACCATGGGAAAGTGACCAATCATCTAATCAATACCTCTTATCATGCACCACCATGCTATGCAAATGCAATGTATTTCATCATACAAGATGCTTCCTCAATTATCAACATTTTCTTCAGCACTTTCTTTAATAATAGTTGACATTTTTTAGTTTATTTTTTAATAAAAATTTTCACTAATAAAAAAAAGTGCG